GTTATTACCTATAAGTAACTTAGTTAATAAGTTTTTAATAATATAGGTAGTTATTAAAATTTTACTAAGTATTAACTAGCTATTAACTTAGCTTAGTAAGTAGGTATTAAAAAAATATAACCTTATTAACTTAATATAATAAATTAATGCCTAATACTAATATATACTTTACTAGTTTTAAAAATAGGCCTAAATTTTATATAATTTAGTGACTAATTAAGGTTTTAGTATATTTAATATTTAAGTAAACCTTATTTATTTTTATTTTTAAGCTAATGCTTAACAAGACTATTAAATATTATTATAATTAATATAAATAATTATATGTATTAGGCTTAACTAATATTTTTAATTTTATAATAAGTAAAACTTTAGTATTTACTAGTAAAGTAGCTAAATAATTTTATTTTTTATATATATTAAAATAGGTAAATAAAGTATTCCTAAAGTTAAAATTTTTATTATACTTATAACATATAACTATTATAGTACTAGCTAGTATAACTTAGTTTTTATTATTATTTAAAAAGTTTAAGTTTTTTAAGTTTTTAATTTTAGTATATCCCTTTAGGTATTAATTTTTAAATAGCTTTTTAAAGTAAGCTATTAATAAAGTCTTGGTTAGTTTTTTAAAGTAAGCACTTAATAGGAAAAGTGTAGCTATTAGGTTACTATAATAAGTAAATAATAAAGTTACCAGCATGGTAACCTAGGTATAAAAGGTGCTAGTATTTAAATTAATATAATATACTTATAATTATAATTAAGAAATAAGAGTAAACTAAGTTAAAAAGGTCTTATACTAGTTTTAAGGCTATTTACCAGGCCTATATTATTAATACTAATTATTAAAGTTTTTTTAATTTTTAATTTTATTATTTTTATTATTTTTATTATTATTTATAGGATACTTATTTTTTTTAAATCCCTGGGTAGCTTAATTAAAAATAGATGGTAGATTTTATAATTTTTGCTAGTAAACTAGCAGTTAAGGTATTATTTATAATAGTAAAAATAGTGGTTAAAGTAGTTAAAGTAGTTAAACATAGTTTAGTTATACTTAATATGCTTAAATACGCGGTCAAGGCGCACCTATTTATTTTTAAAAACACTAGTTAGTTTAATAAGAATTATAATAGGGTTTTTTTAAAAAATTTTAATTTATTTTTTTACTTACTATCTTGCAATTTAATAATATTTTTTTAAATATTAAATTTAAAGTTAAAAATATTTAAAAAATTTATTATTATTATGCGGCGCATTAGTTTATTAATTTTTTGATATAATATACTATTTAATTTACTTTAAGCCCAAGTTAGTTAGTTAAAAATATTACTAATATTTACTAATTTTATATTTTTTAAAAACTTTTAGGTAAAAAAGCAAGGGGGTTTCCTAGCTTAAATATTTATAAAATTATAGCTTATTTTTTTTTAAAAAATAAGTTATTACCTTAACTAATTAAAGCTTAAAATATTTAATAAACTTAGTAACCCATTCCTACTTTAAAATTTTTTTTATAACTTTTGCTTGTCCGCACGGGATAACTTAATAGTATATTATTTTAAAGTAACACAAAAAAAAATGACTATTAATATTAACTTTAATAACTACTTTTTTTTTAAGAATTACCATGTTAAGAATATAGTTTATAAAGGTATATATATTTTTATAAAAAGTTTTTAACCCGTGCTTTTTTATTAATAAATTTTTATTATTAACTTTATTAGGCTAAAAGTAGTTAATATTTTTTATTTTTTAATAATATTTTTCTAGCACAGCTTTAGCTAGCTAAGGCTTTTTTTTATAAGAAACTAGTTTTAGTTTATTAGCTAGTAAAATAAATTTATTTTTACCTTTTTTATATTCGCGTCCCCTTTTTATATTTTTTTAATTTTAGTAAAAAGAATTTAGGGGTTTAAATTTTAGTTTTTATTTTTAAGGTGCTTGCGGATAAGCCTTTAGCCTTTTAAAATAGGGTTTTAGCTATTAAACCAGGCTAGGAACTTTATAAGTATTTTTAAGATTTTATTTATATATATTTTTTAATTTATGCGTCCTGTTAGTTTAGTTATTTATTACTTAGTTATCTTTTTAAAAAATTTTAAAGTCTTTTTTTTAGTCTGGCTTTAAAAGTGGCTTGCCTGTTGTTAATAATCTTTAAGTAATTATTTAATTTTTATTAATTTAAAATTTTTATTTTATTGGAGACCTGGAAGAGGTTAGTAATTTACCTATTATAGGCTGGTATTAAAAGGCTATTAAAAAGGCTATTAAAAATATTATTAAGAAGGCTATTAAAAAGGCTACTAAGAATTTAGGTTCGTGCGGGAGTTTATATTATAAATTAGTAGACTAATATTAGTATTAATATTTATATTAATTATACTATTTTTTTTATAATTAGTAAGATAAAAAAACACCTAGGCTTAATAATTAGTTTTATTACCGCCTGCTTTAAATAACACTAGAAATAATAACTAGTAATTAGTTAAGTTTATTAGCTTGCTAGTTTATAAGCTACCAAAGTATTTAGTTATTACCTAGTAAGTTTAGTAAAAAATATAAATATACTAGTAACTTAAGTAAGCTAAAAAGTACATAAGCCTATAAATAATCCGGAAAACAAAGAAATATTTATAATAAAAAAAATTAAGTATATAAAATATTTACTAATACTAGAGTTAGTTAGCTATTTAATTTTAATTATTATTATATTAATTACTTGCAAAACTATTAGGTTATAATTCTTATTTATAAAGGCTTGCTCCTGCCTAGTTAGTTTTAGGCTAGAGGTTAATTCCAGACTAGTAATATTATTAGTACGCGTTAATAAGCTTGCCTATATTTAGCCTAAAGGTTACTTTAGTTTTAGCAAAAATAAATTTATAAGTATGGGATGCATAATTTTCCAAGCTCTTTATTTATTAATTTATATATTTCCTATTTTTTATTTAAAAGATAAAAGATTCTTTATAACCTAGTAAAAAATTAACTAGTTAATATTTTATGTTAAAAAATAAGCATACTAAGTAAAAAATAAAATAGTGGTATGGTGTATTATAAAGTTAATAAAAAAAATAGTTTCCTAGTTAAATTTTTTTGTATATTACTATTTAACTTGCTAAAAAACCTTTAATTAGTAGGTTAATATTATTAAAATATTATTTTATTTAGTTTAAGCCCCCTTTATATTATTTAGGATTGTTGATTAAAAGGCCAAGAAAATAAGTTTTTATTAAGGTGTTAAGAACTAAAGAAAAAAGCTATAAAAAAAACCAAGAAAGCTAGTTTTTTAAATTTATTAGCTAGTTAAAAAAATATTTTCAAGAAAAAAAAGACAGGCAGTTAGCTAATTATTAAATATAAATAATTTTTTAAAGTTTAGGAGTTTAATTAGTTGTTTGGCTTGATAAAAAATAACTAAATAAATAAGTAAATAATAAAGTAAATTAAACAGGGGATAATAGTAAAAAGCAAGAAAAAAAGATTTATAAGCTTTTTAAATACTAAAAATTTCTTAGTTAGCGTTTGCTGGCCTAACCTTAATTAACATGCCTAATTAAATTATTAAGTTTGCTTAACTAGTTATATCCTGGGACATGCTACTATTATTATTATAAATAATAATTTTAATAAAGTATAATAAATTAATTATTAGCTAAAACTAACTAAGCTCTGGATTTAGAAAAGGGGTTAATAGCAGTGGCCAATAGCAGTATATGCCGCTGGTGGCCTGGCCGATGTTAACAGTAATTTAGGCATAAATTTATTAATATTTTTTTATAATATTCTTATTCCTGCAATTTTTTTTACTAAAATTATATTTAATACCGCCTGTAATTTTTTAGTAATTTTTTTATTATTTTTTATTTTTTTGCCCCTAAGCAGGTATTTTATATTTTAATATTTTTTATATAATTTAAAATTAAGTAGTAAAAATGCCTTTAATATTTTTTAATTAAAAGTTTATAAATTATTTTAGGCACGCTAGGTAATTATTAATTTAAAAATTATAATTATTTTTTAAAATATTGTTTACTAGCCCTTAAAATTAAGTTTATTATTTAATTATTATATAAAATAAGATTTTTTTTAAAAAAAAACTAATTAAAATTATAAGTTATATTTATATATTACACTAAGCTTAAAAAATATAAGTTATTATAATAAAAAAATATTATATATTTATAATAAGAATTAATTCCTAATTTTTAATTAAAAATTTTAAGTTAAACTTAATATTTTATATATTATATAACTAGCCACTACCTTAACACATGGCTAATTTAATACTAAAGCTCCCCTATCTAGCGGCCTTAGGTTGCTAAATTATGTTATTATAACACTACGCAGTTGCAATACCATAGCAGTAATAATAAAATTAAATTTTAGGTTTAATATAATATTTTAAGCTTTATATAAATATATTTTAATATATAAGCCTAAATTTTAAACCCTTTAAAATATAAAAACTTAAAAATATTAACTTTACTAAGGCTAACCTAATATATTAAAACTTTAATTTTAGTATAAAAGGCTAAGTTATTACCTAAAAATATTTTATTTAATACCTTAATTATAAAGGTATATTTAGATTATATAGCTATTAACTTTAAAATAATACTTATATTTTAAATATAAAATAATATTATTAATATAAAAACTAGTTATAAAAAGACCTTTATTTTTTTAATAAGATTTAAAATTAATAAATAGCTAACCTATTATAAAGGCTTTAAAAATTATATAATAACCTAGCTATACTAAAGGTAAAATTTTTTTAAGGGTAAATAAAAAGTAGTAAGTAAAGTAATATATAATATTTATAAAAAGTGGAGTTTTTGCGTGAGTGTTAATTTAGTCCTCTGTAGTAATTCACGTGATGTGGAATTTGCTTCTGACTTGGCATACAAACTGTGATCAACTTATTTCAATCTTCCCTTTCATAATTTAACTTCTTTATCTGACACCTCTTTCTACCCTTCACATCTCCGCGCATGCGGGCGTCTCTTTTCCGGCACTTGCGATGGGTTGCTAGTCCCGTTCGCTCGCCACTGATTCGGGCTTGGGGTGGAGCGCATTCATTGCGCCATGCCTTGAATACCTCTGTACCTTTAACTCCGCAGCCTAGGTGCTTCTCAGCATCAGTGCGCAGTCGAATCTTCCACGACGGTGATTCCACAATATACGCGCTCTCTACGGCTCCAGGTCGGGCTGCGATTGCTGTGGTTCGAGTTTCGGGGCCTGCCTGCGTGTCGGTAGGCAGAACTGCATCCCTCTCACGAACACCAAAGAAGTGGCGGCTAACAATCGCTATCTTGCTCTCTCAAGGTCTATCAAGCACTATGCCCCAAAGGTCCGCTTCCGCGTCCCCGTGTCGCAGCCGTGCGCACCCTCTACGATCCTGCCTCCGATGATCCTTTGAGCCAAGCAGGTATCCTTGATGCCGGAGCGCTGGTACTATACTTCCCGGGCCCTAAGACTGTCACTGGCGAGGATGTACTGGAATTTCACCTTCACGGTGGACCGGCAATTGTACGCTCGGTTCTAAAAGCCATCGCGAGTACTAGCGGCGGAGAACATATGCTGCGATACGCCGAGCCAGGAGAATTTACTCGGCGAGCTTTTATGAACGATAGACTCGACCTCCCGCAAATTGAGGCATTGGGCGATACTCTAGCGGCAGATACCGAACAGCAGCGGCGCCTGGCTGTCCGAGGCGCAAGTGATGCGTTGTCGAAAAGATACGAACAATGGCGTCAGCAATTACTCTACGCACGCGGGGAGCTTGAGGCATTGATTGATTTCTCGGAGGACCAACATTTCGACGAGTCCTCTGACGACTTGATCCTGTCTGTGGCGTCACAGGTGCGGGCTCTCAGTCGGCAGATTGAACTGCACATTCAGAATGCGTCAAAGGGGGAGCTTATGCGTAGCGGGATCAAGGTTGCCCTACTCGGAGCGCCAAATGCGGGCAAGAGCTCGCTCTTAAACCGGATTGTTGGTCGAGAGGCGGCTATTGTCAGCACGGAGGAAGGCACTACCCGGGATATCGTGGATGTTGGAATCGACTTGGGCGGTTGGTACTGCAGGCTGGGTGACATGGCTGGAATACGGTCGGAGCCTGGTAGATCCTCGTCTGGGAGTGTGTCCCCGGTAATTGGTGCTGTTGAAAAAGAGGGTATCCGGCGGGCTCGCGCGCGGGCTTTAGAGTCCGATGTGGTCGTGGTGGTGATCTCGGTAGAGGATGGATCTGAGAGAGGGGCGCCATATCGACTTGCTGTGGAGCCAGTTGTTGTTGATGCAGCTAACGATTGTGTGCGTGCCGGCAAGCATATAATCGTTGCCATCAATAAATGCGACCGGCTGCCGCCGATGGGCCTTAACGAGACCGCTCAAGTGCCGCCCGAGCTAGCCATGGAAGTGAACCAGCTTTTCCCTGAAGTACCAATCAAGCGCCTCTTTGGCATTTCATGCCTCGAATCCTCGAATGGACCTGTACAACCTGAGGCCAACACCTGGCCTACCTTCCTACAGGGCTTGATATCCACATTCGAGGAAATGGCCACTCCAGCCGGAGTGGATGGCGATACAAACGGACAGTACGATCGTTCGTACTGGGAGGACTCGCTGGGAGTGAGTCATCGCCAAAGCTCTAATCTGCAAGTATGTCTACAAAGCCTGGATGATTTCCTGGCGCAAGCCACGCCTACGTCTCACGGAATTTCAGCTGGTTCTTCTCTGAAATTTCTGGAGACGAACTCGGATGAGCTGGACGTGGACATTGTGGTCGCTGCGGAGCACCTGCGTTATGCCGCTGATGCTCTCGCCTCGATCACGGGCAAGGGTGAAAGCGGCGATGTTGAGGATGTGTTGGGTGTAGTTTTTGAGAAGTTCTGTGTCGGCAAGTAGGGTTACCGGATTGCCCATGGGAGCAGATACTAGCCTATAGGTCCTATTCCCATTGGCCGTGCCGCACTCGCTCTCGGAGCGCTGCGTGTCTCTGGCGACATCGCCCAATGGGCAGAACGCGCTATCGGCAAAACTTTAGAGGGTCATATAACCACAGTCATGAGCTAACTCGAATGCGAGGCTGACGAGGACAAAAGCCGTAGGCGCAGGTCTGTGACGTACACCTCGTGAAGGACCCGCTGTCTTGATGCCAGGACGCTTCAAGTCGCCGGGTGCCAGCCATTACACTGCAAGCAGGCATAGCCATAGGCGGCCCAGTTGGACGACGATGGGCGCAAAGGCTACAACATGATCTCTAGGCGTTTTGGAGGGCGACTATCCTCCTCGTGCGGCTGTCCCAAAGAGTAGTTTATCACAATGGAGTTGAAATTTCTGGTCGATAGCAGGCATTACCCCAAGCAGATTGCAGTAGCAGACACTGGACTTAGGCGTCCTCACTCAATTTATGATCATCGCCATGCTTCCAGATTTTATCATAAATAGGCAGCACCATATTTGTCACGAGCAGCTGACAGTGGGCAGGATTTTCCACAGCATCGGTATCTATGTAAGATCATGATCCTATGGGCTGTTAGGGCTTCCACGGAGTGTCTTCGACGGCCATCCACGGCCTAGCGCCGCCTGCTTCCTACATCTCCCCTTCCATCATTCAATAAACCATTATCACCGACAGAATATTCAGATCACCGATCACTAAAGACCCCATACTACTCGCCTCGACAAGATTAAAATGTCCACCACCCCATTTCCAATCCCCCACATAATACCTCCACATCCTGACCACCCACACACGCACACCGCAATCCTTCTGCATGGCCGCGGAAGTTGCGGCCGCGAATTCGCAGAAGACTTGTTCACCTCGCACACTTCGCAAGGCATCAATCTCCCTACGGCCTTTCCAACATGGCGCTGGGTGCTTCCTACGTCTCGGGTACGCTGGAGCAGCTTGTTTCAGGAGGAGATGTGTGCTTGGTTTGGGGCGGGGCCGCCGGGCAGGGGTACTGATGGTTTGAACTCTGACACTGGGGCGAAGCATCAGGAGCAGGAGGAGATGGAAGGGCTACGAGAGTCAGTTGAGTTTATTGTTGGACTCGTGGAGAGGGAGGTTGGGGTTTTGGAGGGTCAGAAAGAGAAGGTGTTTCTAGGAGGGATGAGCCAGGGGATGGCGACTGGGTTGTGGACTCTGCTGAGTCTTCATGCATCGTTAGATGGGAGGCTGGGTGGGTTCCTGGGGATGTGCGGGTGGTTACCCTTCGCCGAGGGGGTTGCGGCTTTAGGAGAAGAGGTTGGAGATGAGCAAGGTAAAGATAAGGCCGCCTTGGGGTTCTTCTCTAGGCGGCTTTTTGGTGATTCCAGGTTAGAGGAGATTAATACGACTGTTCTTTCAACGCCGGTGCTCTTGATGCATGGGACTGATGATGTTTGGGTGCCGGTGGAACTGGGCAGGCTGGCAAGAAGCATCCTAGAGGGTTCCATGGGCCTGTCGGTTGAGTGGCTTGACTTTACTGGTGCAGAGAATGATGGGCATTGGGTTAAAGAGCCAGAAGGGTTTGATCGAATTGCACAGTTCTTCAGCAGGAGAAGTAACGAAGGGGCTGTGAGTGCAAGAGACAAGGGCTCAAACACAGGCTGATCGTAGGATTAGTCCCATTGGAGGAGCACAATATTTGATGGGATATATGGGATAATATGATTCATATATAACAGACATTTGAGATTAGCCAGGAAGCTCGGCAAATCCCGGAAAAGATCCAACGCCCTCAGAAGCAGTAGAAAATGAAGCTATAGACTCAGAGTCGGATGCCAGTGCCGAACCTTGTTGGTGTATACGGTCCGGACTCCGATCCCTTGACCCTCCAGCCTGACGAAGACCCGGCTTTATTACGAATCATACTTACCTCAACTATGGACACCAGTGTTTGGATAAATCGTCGCGACCTCTCTCTAAAGAAACCTTCGTTTCCGGACAGGAGACCGTCAGGTTGAACAAAATGATCACGGACAGTTGGATGGCTCAATGGAGTTCTTGAGGTAGCTGGCGGCTGCTGCGGTGCCCAGGACAGAGATAATGGTCGACCATGTCCGGGATGAAAGTTAAGGTATCGCTCAAAGGCTCTTCCAGACGCTGGACCTAAAGATGTTTGCTCCTCGTTAAGCGGGGGCCGATGCATCTGTTCTGGTGTTTGGGAACGGCTGGAGGGTAGTCCTTGTTCCAAGTTTCCTGGGAGCTCTTGAGCAGGTCCATCTTTGTTCACTGTTTCTGGAACTGTGGTGAAAGAAGATATTGCTGCGGTGGTGTAGGACCCGTGTTTACCATCATCGGCCCAAAGTTCCTCCTATGTGCCTCTTGCATGTACGAAGAAGCCGTTGGAAGTGTTGTATTTTGTACAAATGACTCTGGTTGATGCTGTGCTCGATGCAGTATATTCAATACCTGCATCTTGCGTTCATCAGAGATATTGGCCGCCGGCGCAAACCCAATACCCTCGAACAGTAAGTTTGGCCTCATACCCTCGCTTGCTGGATTGGCTAGAGTATGAGACAGAAGGACCTCAAGAACGCGTGGATGACCATAATACGCAGCATGCTGATAAGGAAACCAGTCTTCTTCGTCCTGTTTCTTCACGGAAGCACCGCGCTAGCAAGAGCTTTACGACTGGAAGATATCCACCCATTGCAGCAAGACACAGAGGAGAATCTTCCCGACTCCCAGTGTCAAACGGACGCTGTACGGGAGAGTTGCGGTCGAGAAGGTTTATTACTGCAGCAGCGTGACCATCACAGCATGCAACTCCAAGAGCTCTGTAGCCTAGAGAATTCTTCGATAGTAGCCCGTTTGTCACAAAGCAGGTTCAGGAGTCCTATCGAGTTTTGGTTGGTTGCGATATGCACAGGACGCCTTTGCATTCCGTCGTCCATCTGTGCTTCAACATCGGCGCCTGACATAAGGAGCAACCTTGAAATCTCGATACTGTTCGCGAGACATGCGTAGTGCAGAGCCGTCAATCCAGATTGGCATTTGGTTTCCACTGGTACCTGTTTCCTGAGAAGAAGCTCTACGACGGCAAATTGAGCGTTCATAGCGGCTAAGTGGAGCGCGGTTCGCTTCACGAAGTTCAGAGCAGTCAAAGAACTCTTCCGACTGCTGAGGATCTCCATTACTTCTGTGTGCCCATTATATGCAGCCCAATGCATAGCAGTCATGCGACATCGTCGACGCATCGACTCGAGGCTTTTCTTTTTAGAAGCAACGCGGTTGTTGAAAGTCCACCAACAGCGGCAGCACATATAAGTGGTGTCCTTCTGTCAAAGCCAGCCTTGTTATCAAGAAGAATTTCCATAACTCCACGTGGTCTTTTTCAGAAGCGTAATGCAATACAGTCATTAGTGTGCCATCTTTGGCTTCTAGATCAGCATCTGCATTGACTAGCAGCTTGACAATGGCATCGTCGCCCTGCTTGGCTGCGATAGGAAGGGCAGTCATCTGCGTGTCTGCTCGTGCATTTACCTTTGCCTTGGAGAGAAGCAAAATATGTGTAGCCTCTTTTCACCCCTTTCCGCGGCAACCAAGAGAGCAGTGCGCCCCCTTGAGTCCCGCGCTTCAATGTCTATCAGCTCGGAAAGTATCAGTGACTCGAGGACCCGGCAGTGGCCGCGCGAGGCTGCGAGGTGTAGGGCCGTCGACCCCGACTTGTCAACCGCATCAAGGCGTGGGTTCTTGCGAATAAGAATTTCTACAACTGCCTCATTACCACAGTGCGCCGCAACATGAAGGGCGGTTCGGCGGGTCGGTAGGTGTTTCGCCTCCAGGTCACACCCGCGTTCAATCAGTTTTTCCATGTCAGTCCAAGAGCTCGTCTGAGCGATCTTGACAATGAGATGATTGCCGGCTCCTTCTGCAGACGTAAGGTCAATGCTTGTGTTGATATCTCTGTCATGCTGGCGACGCCAGGTGTGTATTGAGCCGTCCGTCAGACCTGCTCTGCCATAGCCTTCATCGGTCATTCGACTGTGGTTGCCGTTGCTCGTGGCGGACCTCGTCTCTGGTTTCGAGTACAAAAGTTGCGGTACACGTTGATATAGCAAGGTCGCAGCGAGGGTTCTGTCGAATTCAAAGACCGTATCGCCAGCCGTGGACTCGTGTTGGCTCAGTCTGGAAGCGGTATCGGCTCGAGAACCAGCACACCTTGTTGAGGAGCGTAGCGTGGCAGCGTCATCTGCGACCTTCCGTATGATGTGACGGCTCTCTGCTTTACGCAAAAGCTCCACTTGCTCTGCAGAATACTGGCTAAATATGTCTAGTCAGCCACAGGACTTGCTGGATGGGCAGTCGACAATTGAATCAACTCACCATTGACAGGCTCGCACCAGCAATTGTAGGGCAATCAGCTGAGAACGGAGCCTCTCCTGATGTCCCCTCATGACATCTTCTCTCCAGAGAACCCTAATGCGGGTGCGGAAGCCGACTCCAGCCTCATTTGGCGATGCGCTCTGCGTTAGAACCAGAACCTCGTCCGATAGGGCTTCCATGACCGTGCGGCAGCCATCAAGTGCAACTTCCAGGGTACTTCTGTATTCAGCTGGAGATTCGCGTAGTCTGGCTCTTGTCCAGACCTCCAAATGCGTGATCGCAGCCTTGATCGTTCCCAATTCTTTCTCGAGCGCCTCGATCGTAAGGTCGGCGTGTTGGTATTTCTCGCGCAGACTTGCTAGACCCGCTAGCGTTTCGCTAATGACATGTCCAACCGGAAAGGACCCTGAAATCAATCCTACTGCAGACAAAGGATCCATGCTGTATCAACCGGCTGCTAGGGACCATGACCTCTCCCAGTTAGTGGTTAGGCCACACACACCGAGCAATGGTAGTTATAAAACTGTGATAAGGGTTCAGACATGGAATCTAGTTGACAATAAGCACAAATGACACGATTAATGCAAAGGACATAGTAGATGTCGGGAGGGAGCGTTCGAGACTAAACGCAATGAGAGGGGGGAAGCGAGCACTGCCCCCGCTCTCTTGCATGAGAAGCCCAGGCAAGCATCCTGGTCAACAACTTGGGTTAGTAACAACTATGGCATGACTAGAAGTTCCCTCAGTCATGGGAACAACAAAGATGGTCTAAATTGATCAATCAGATTGATTTTGTATACATATACATGCATATCATATCCAACAACAGTGCTTGAAAATTAAACAGTAGCAATGCCAAACAAGAGCGCCTGAATGCATTTCAGCATGACTCAACGCCTGGTTATGTCAATGCCGTTGAATTCCTTTGAACACTCAAAAGGAACACGCTGGGTATAATAGAACAGAGAAATACCATTTCAGTAAGGAGAAGGCTCACTGGCTTCATGCACCAATGGCGTTCTTGACCCATTTTTCCAGACCACCCTTGGCAATAATCTCCTGGACGTTGGGAGGTAATTCTCCAACCTTGTGCGTCCACCTAGGCCCATTCTCGCCTTCCTGGACTTCGATTTGGCTCTTGCGCACATCCCAGGTCAGAGTCCATCCAGTGCGGCGAGTAAGAACCTTGTCGCCCGATCCAAACGTCTCACGAAGGCGCTCGACCAGTCGTGGAACTTCAAGCCCCATCAAAGCATTGTTGATACTGTTGCGGGAGAAGATGTTCCCGAAGCTGCCTGATACAACCAGGGGGATCTTCTTTGCCAGAATAGCAGTCGCAGCTTGCTCGCGGGAACTCCCGCAGCCGAAGTTGAAGCCACTGACTAGAATATCTCCTTCTTTGGCGGTGGTCGAAAATTCTGTATCGTAGTTTTCCATGCAGACACGGGCCATGGTATCCGGAGGCACGTCATCCTGATAGGTGTACTTTCCAGGGTAAATTCCGTCTGTGTTGACATTATCGGCGTCGCAGAAGACGAGTTCTCCAGAGACACGTTCGGGAAATCCGGGGTAGATCTCTGTCAGGCCTTGTTCGGATACCTCAGCCGCCGGGGTCTCTGGGGCAAAACGCTTCTCACCGTCCGCCACAAGATCATCTAACTGACCAATTATTTTCTCCAAAGCTTCTTCATTCGTGAGCATGCGTTCCTCCTCTCGGATGCCATCTCCTTCACCTCGAATCACCTCGGTCCAACCTTCGGGTGTCTGGTACCAGCCGGGTCCGCTGAGCTTGCCGCTCAGCGCGCTAGCAGCGACGACCTCCGGGCTTCCCAAATACGCTTTTGCCTCAGTGCTACCCATCCGACCCTTGAAGTTACGGTTGGACGCACTGATACCGACTTCTCCCGGCTCCAGCAAGCCCTGGCCCATACCAATACAAGGTCCACACCCAGCCGGCAGCTGCGTCGCTCCAGCTTCAAGTAACGTCTGCCAGTCTCCATTGCCCTCAGCTGCAATCTGTTCCGGGATCGAAGCAGCCGCTATGTAGAAGTCGACGCCATCAGCAATTTTAGGAATCTTGCCACCATTTTTCTCAGCAGCGTCCTTGAAAACCTTGGCCGCGGCAGCAATGTCGGAAGCTCGCGAGTTTGTGCAGGAGACGAGGTAAGCTTTGTTCACCTTAATGTTCTGGGCCTCAAGTTCCTTGAGAGGCGTAGCAATTTTGACAGAGTTTGGCCCAGAGACGTAAGGAGAGAGTGTTGAAAGATCCAAGAAAAGCTCCTTGGCGTATTTGGCGCCCTTGTCAGCGGTCATCGGGTTTTCGAACAACTGCTCCAGGAGTGGGTGTGTGAACCTCTCAGCGGCCCGGGTCTTAAACGGGCCGTCCGCAAGCCCCATGGCTGCGGTCGTAGCCTTACCTTTCAGCCATCCTTTCAGCACACTGTCAATGGGGAACAGTCCAGACAGCGCGCCCCATTCAGTTGTCATATTGGCAATGGTTAACCGAGTATCCACTGAAAGGCTTCGCATTGTCTCCTCGGATCCGGTGAATTCAATCGCATGGTTTAAGACGTCGTCCTTGTTGAAGAGACCACAAAGGGCAACAATAACGTCTTTACCTGTCACACCGGGAGGTAGTACACCCTTGAAAGTCACCTTCGCGACTGGGGGAATCTGCCACCAAGTTTTACCCGTAGCCCAGACACTGGCCGCATCAGTTCTCACGATGGGAGTACCCAGACATCCCACACCACCGTACATGTTGCTGTGGGAGTCGCTTGCAACAGCAAGAGTACCGGGCCAAGCAAACCCCTCCTCGATCATGATCTGGTGACCAATGCCTCTTCCAGCGGGGTAGAACTCCACGCCATGCTTGGTGGCGAATTCTTCGATTTGTTGGTATTTTTTGAGGTTCTTTTCAGACTTATTTTGCACGTCGTGGTCGAGGGTCATCACAATCTGATCTGGGTTATGCAGGCGAGAAGCTCCAATGGACATGAACTTCAATGCGCAAGGCCAACTGTTATCATGTGCTAGAGTTTATCTATTAGCTTGTGTCATGTTCATCGTCATTTGGGGCCAACTGCATGGAACCAGACATACTCATGCAACGATGGGGCGAGATAGTGACATAATCGCCGGCCTTGACGGATTTTCCCTGTGGCAATCCCACTGAGTACTTCTGTACAATCTTCTCCGTGAGTGTCTGGGGCACGGCCTTTGAGGAGTTCAGCGTGGAGAACAGTGCGGCGGAGGAAGGATCTTCAAGTTGTGACTGGAAGACGTCTTGGAATTTGCGTCTGGTGGAAGTGAGTGTTCGTCGTTGATAGTTCTTCGACATGGCGCATCGCAGAACCGCCCAGCGGCGGCCGCTTTGCGACACGAATCGTGACTGCATTAAGTCAGTACACCGGACAACCATGACAAGATGCTGCGTGAAGATAGTTATTCTAGTTGAACACTGGCAGGTAACTCACCGTCATTATTGCTCTTGCGGAACGCGGAGAAGGTGGTGAGCTGGTGAAGTTTGTTCCGAACTATTTTGCGCGATGTCCGCTCTAAGTTTTGTACCTGGCGAATCAGGTGGCGCGTATTGTCATTGGTCAACCAGCTTGAATGTCCGGGGTTGCCTCGGCGGAAAGCAGTTAGCGTGCCGAGACCGCCCGAGGTCTCCGTTGTCGGAGCTTGTTCTACTGCAAGAGGAGTGATATGCTGCCTCGTCATCGTTGGTTAACAGTGCATTATGGCTATGCTACACGGAGAAGGCGGAAGCTCGCCTAAAGTAGTGAGCTGTCAAAGCTTCCACACAGCCCAGTTCTGAAGATCAAGCTCCTTGATAATACCTTGGAGCGGGCCCTGTAGCTCCATGCCTTGCGCCCAGATCTTAGGCCCAGCCATATAGCCGATGAAGCCTTCTGGTCCTGAAACAAGGATCAAGTTGCGGTTGCCCTTCCCGGAGGATGAAGACTCGGCAGATTTGGTACAGTCCCAAATAGACCTCTTCCCGATGAAACTGCTTTCCTCGTCGACGAAATACTGTACAGTAACCTGCTCGGGATACTGCGCCTTAAGAGTTTCGATTTCTCGAACGATGAGGGACGATTCCACAGTGTCCCCTACCTTCGTAAGAGCATAACTGCGGTCTGGTTTTGATCCGAAGATCCGGGAAAGCCATGACGGTCGCACCTCAGCAGCTGCGTCCGTAGACTCATTGCGCCCACCCACACAATCCTGCCGCTGCCGATTTGCCCACAGAATGTGTATCCTAGGTTTATTGACTTGGTTTGTACGTCGAAGAAGGGTATGTCCTGCTTGCAAAGCAGGGGCAATGCCAGTTCCGCCGGCAACGAAGATAACTGTTTCTGTCTCCAAAGGAATCTCGCATTCAATCCGGGGCCCGCGCACCTCAATGCGTGCTCCTATCTTTAGGCTATGCAAGTACCTGGAAACTTCGCCAAAGGGGTCTTTGCGAATGAAGAACCGCAGACATACGTCCCCTTCAGTGTCTGACGTTGGCGGCAGCGGGGTATAATCTCGGCCAATTTGTAGTTGTGGTTGCTTGAACATGACACTCCATATTCCAGTATTCCATGCCTCCTCATATATCGCGAGATTGCTTCCATCTGACTTTGGAGGCTTGATCGTAAACAAGCTGCCGGTGGTTGAGACGGGTTCCCGAGATACTAGCTCGTATGACGTGAACCGAACAGGATTCAAAGTTGTCGAGCCCGCTTTCGCATCTTGCGTCCACTTGATGTATCCGCCAACTCCTGCAGCTGTTATTGTGACCAACGTCAACCGCAGCCACTGGCGGGAAACGGGAGATGCTGGGGATAATTGCGCCGAGGGGGGACAACTAGTGGCATGTTGTCGCTGTGGCCCAACTAACGACCGCGTGAAATGTGCATCTTGAAGGAAGAAGCCCGGTGACCGAATTCTAGGCTTCATGGGTTGGTCGAAGGCGCAAGCTAGGAATTATCGTGGGCTCTTGGACTCCGCCCAGTGGCCATTGTTACCCTTTTTCAAGGGTTAAGGCGCTAGTCCGAATCAGGCACGAATGACGATCCTCCAGCTCCAGGACGTTGTTATTATTATTATTAGGGTACTCCGTTCGAGTGCCAGTCAAAAGACAAGCTTCTCTGTCCTGAATTCTGAACTCCTGTCGCTTATGTTGCTTCAACGCTTCTGGGATCAGCTTTTTGTCCTCGGCTGACCGTAGAGATACGCTTGTTTGTTCTCTACTGACTGGCATGGCACCCACTTGACGGCCGCTGCTCTGATCATCTGCCCGTCCTCCGTTCGACATTAAACCCAGCTTCAAGGCGCCATGTCCCAAATAACTTTCTCAGCTCCCGAATTGCGATTCGACCACGGTGCTAGAGACTCGCTAGAACTTGCTTCTCTAGCCTCTTCTTCTCCTGAATCAGGCCTGGAACTCTCCCGCTCCTCATCCCCCTCGGGCATTTCGTCCTCGCGCAAGCTATCGCTAGAAGACGAGGATCCCCTTTCGAGCTCGAGTCTACATACAAACAATCTATCCTCGCGACCGCGACCTGCGCGGTCGTACTCTGTCTCTTCCGCTTTCGATTTTGGGAGGAATCTATTTCCCCTGTCGCAGACTGCCGATGGTTACGCTCCCTTGGGGGCGCCGACTCAATTCAACGGAGAAAACGGCGGTAGCGATGGATCGTTGGAACGGAATAAGACGTTAACCTACATAAATGGATTGTCCTTGGTGGTGGGGCTGGTGATTGGGTCGGGAATCTTCTCATCACCCAGCCAAGTGAACGCCAATGCAGGCTCACCTGGTGGTGCACTGGTTGCATGGCTCGTTGCTGGCTTGCTGGCCTGGACGGGCGCGGCAAGTTACGCCGAGTTAGGAGGCGCTATTCCCTTGAACGGTGGTGCACAAGCTTATTTGTCCAAGATCTTCGGGGAGTTGGCGGGGTTTCTCTTTACGTGGTGTGCTGTCTTAGTACTTAAGCCTGGAAGTGCAGCCATCATCTCGATTATTTTCGGTGAGTATGTGGTTCGAGCAATACTAGGGGCTGAGGTGGAACAAATCAATCCTTGGATCAACAAGGGAGTCGCTTTCGGTGGACTTTTTGTAGTGACTTGTCTCAACTGTCTATCCACTCGACTTGCTGCCCGCATTGGTGACCTTTTCATGCTCTTCAAATTTGTTGCGTTGATTGGAGTCGCCATTATTGGGGTTATTGTTGCTGTCACCGGCCTCTCGGCAAAGGGAGAGGCCAACCATGAGTGGAAAACTAGCTGGTTTGAGGGTACGAACATGGATATAACTGGCTGGGCTATGGCGTTGTATGCGGGTCTTTGGGCCTTTGATGGTTGGGACAACGTAGGTTGTGTCAAATCCAAGTCCCAGGTCGTTCCACTAACAAATAGCAGACAAACTATGTGACGGGTGAATTTAAAAACCCTAATCGCGATCTTCCACGTGTGATTCATACAGCAATGCCTCTGGTCATTGTTTCTTATCTTCTGGCCAACATCTCCTACTTTTTCGTCCTCCCTCATTCTACCATTGAGGCTACCAACACCATTGCCGTTCAGTTCGGTGACAAAGTCTTTGGGGCTGTCGGAGCCTTGATCTTTGCGCTGATTGTCTCTGCAAGCTGCTTTGGCGCACTCAATGCGACTATCTTTACCAGCGGACGCCTAGTCTACGCAGCCGGTAAGGAAGGCTACCTTCCTTCACTGTTCGGCAAACTCTGGACTCAAGGCTCTACCAATGGCTCGAACCGGCTCCAGCGTCGGTCTTGGCCCAGCAAGCTCGTATCTCGTGTCTTTGGCAATGGGACATGGATCGGCTACACGCCCATAAATGCGATGGCGTTGAATAGCATACTCACTCTGCTATTCATCATCGTTGGCGAGTTCAGTACTCTCGTCACCTTCTACGGCGTTGCAGGATACACATTCTACTTTCTCACCGTACTTGGTCTCATCGTGCTTCGCGTTCGCGAGCCGCATTTAGAACGGCCTTATAAGACTTGGATTTCGACACCCATTATATTCTGCTGTGTCAGCCTTTTCCTACTCAGCCGCGCCGTGATCTCCGAGCCCCTGCAAACGCTGATCGTAGTAGCGTTCATCGTGGCTGGCATCCCTGTTTTTATGTACCGCATCTACAAGCGGGACGGTCAAAAGGCCTTTCGGGCATTAAGATTCTGGGAGTCACGATGACCATGAACGACATTTCGCACTTATTTATTCGCTTCCACAAACTTGGGTCAAGTCCAACACCGTTACCTACGACTGGTTCTAATTATACGTTTTCATATTCTTCTCTGGTGAAAGAGTCACTCATGCATTGGTAACTACTCGCTTGCGGGAGATACTGAGGCCCTACTCCAGTTTATAATTCTACTGACGAACTCATGGCGTGTTGGGTCTGGGACAAGGTTTCTTGTTTGCGTTTTCAGTTCGCACTTATACACTTTCATTGTATAATAGAGTTGGCTGGACTTGGAAAGCGGTGGATGCATGGTATGGACGATTCTATGAATATGCCGGCGGTGGTGTCCAACCGCCTGTAATCAATAAACATACAATAGAGGTATGTGATTATGACTTACAGGGGGACTCCGTTGACATCTTAGAGAATTTCATGCACAATCCCTCAGGCACTGCCGCCACTTTTGCAGCATACCGTACTAGGGTTGAGGTACTTGAGTAGCGCCTGCCATTAGTCAACTAGTCAACTGCTTATCAGTGAAAAAGGCCTGCAAACGGCCTCTACTCCAACTACTCCACTACAACAGAACCCCGACGTTGGCCGAAGGTCATGACTCCAATATTTACCCCCAAATTGCGCTGTAATCCCACGATGCATTATCTCTAGACTAGGATAAATACCTCTGCCACATAAGAACAAGAGCGGGAGCCTGAAGGCTTCTAGGCTAAGGTGCCCACCTCCAACTCTTTTTCGACGTACTGCCTTGATTACGGCCCAACATTCGATACGATAATGGGCAGTCTTCAACCGTGGGAGGAGATAGTCGCAAAGAAACGCGCTTTGCGTGACCAGGCCCTCAAGCCGTATCTCGTCTCCGATATTGACAGCCGGTCACCCCAGATTCGCTCTGTTCAGGATTGCTCTTGTCTAGAAGATGATCCACTGGTCCAGGAAATTACAGACATCAGTAGCATTCCGATCCTGGTCGAGCAACTCCAGAAAGGCCGCTATTCTGCCGAGCAAGTCACTTCCGCGTACATCAGAAGGTAGTTATACTCGGCTGCTCGTTATTCAACTTACCCATACTGATTGATGCTAGGGCTACTGTAGCTCACCAACTAGTATGTCAAGAGGTTAAGCTAATCCTGCAGTTCTTACTGACAAATCACTTTAGACGAACTGCATTACAGAAGTCATATTCGAAGGTGCCTTGATTCAAGCCCGAGAACTTGACCAGCTGTATAAGGAGACCGGCCAGCTCAAAGGGCCTCTTCACGGCGTGCCAGTTACAGTCAAGGATCAGTTCAACGTCAAAGGCTATGACTCGACCATCGGCTATGTTGGCCGGTCGTTTTGTCCTGCATCCGAAGATGCAGTTTTGATTCAGGTGCTGAAAAGTATGGGGGCCATTATCTTGGCTAAGACAAACCTACCGCAGAGCATCATGGTTCGGTTCCCTCAATTACTCAGACATTCTTGTGCGATACTGACGGCGACGACCAGTGGGCGGAGACTGAGAACCCTCTCTGGGGTCTAACTGTCAATCCTCGAAACCCTGCATTCACACCTGGCGGCTCTACTGGTGGCGAGGGTGTATTGCTCGCATTGCATGGGTCTATTTTGGGGTTTGGCACAGATATTGGCGGTAGTGTTCGGATCCCTCAAAGCATCATGGGCTCGTACGGGTTCAAGCCAAGCGTACGGTTACCGCTATTTGAGGCATAACAATTCCAGCTAACAATGCAATAGAGCAGCAGGTTGCCATACTGTGGCGTCCCCGTCTCCACGGAGGGCCAGGAGCACGTTCCCTCATCTGTTGGCCCAATGGCCCGGAATATCCACTCTATATGCTATATCAGCCGGCTCCTAGCTAATGCTCGGCCGTGGGATTTAGATCCGAGATGCGCAACTCTCTCGTGGAATGAAAGCGTTTTCCGGGATATGCAGTCGCGACCATTGGTAATAGGCCTAATCCTGGACGATGGTGTGGTTAAGGTACATCCTCCTATTGAACGTGCGATTGGGGAACTTGCAGCCAAGCTCGAAGCGAATGGGCATGAGCTCATCACCTGGGACGCCTCAGACCATCTGAGCTATATCAACCTTATGGACCGGTACTATACTGTTGACGGAGGAGAGGATGTCCGTCGCGATGTCGCTGTCGCCGGAGAGCCCTTCATCCCTCACGTTGAAGCATTGGTAAATCGGGGAAAACCAATATCCGTCTACGAGTACTGGCAGATGAACACGGAGAGAAATAATCTGCAGAAGAAATATCTCGACAAGTGGAATGCAGCCCGTTCACCGTCTGGAAGGCCTGTTGATGTCCTGCTTAGCCCGACAATGCCACACGTTGCGGTGCCTCACCGGAGCGTGCGCTGGGTTGGGTATACCAAGATCTGGAATCTTCTCGACTACCCTGCCATTACTTTTCCCGTGGATGAAGTCAGGGCTGGCAAGGATGTACAGCCGCCGGACTACCGGCCGAGAAATGCGCTTGATGCGTGGAATTGGAACCTCTACGACCCGGGTACTATGGACGGGCACCCGGTTAACCTGCAAATTATCGGGAAGAGGCTGGAGGAGGAGTGTGTACTAGGGGCTGCCACAGTGATTGAGGAGATTTGGCGTAGTTATTAGCTTGGTTCCCGAATCCCTTGCCCCATTTGTGAGTCCGTGTACCCCACTTCTGGCCTCTTTGGACCCCGGTTCGATGTTAGGGTCGTGAGGTATCCGTACAGAAACATCCCGGTCATCTCCTGACATAGATTGTTTATTTATGAAGTATATAATGCGAAATTCGTGTTTATGAGCATTATCGTAAAGTCATACCAGGAATGGGCCCTCAGTTTAGTTGAATGCCAGATAACGATATCTAAGAAAAGCAACCCCTCATGCCCTGATAAGATCAGCGGGGATCACTCCACCAAGAGCTCCCAGTCTATCAAGTACCCCAAATGGCCCAATACGCCGATAATCAGCTCCACGGCAAATGCGCCGAGTTATGTGCACCGAGTCTGGTCTATCTCAGCATACTCCGAGGTTGTCCGGGAATATTATTGCGTAACTGATTCTCACTGTGAGCAACCTTTATCGGTCCCCAAAGATAACCCCACCCTTGGTCAGTATAAGAGGCTCAGGAGGACTCTGCATCAAGACACAATAGTCCTACCACCTCAATTGCTACCTACATAACAAAGACTAGCAACATGGGGAAGAAGCGAGTCCTCGTATCGTACGGTGTCGACATCGACGCCGTCTCGGGATGGCTGGGTTCATATGGCGGCGAAGACAGCGCCAGTGATATCAGTCGAGGTATGAATGGATATGGCACAATGGAATTATCATGTTCTGACTACCAAAGGTCTCTTCGCCGGCCACGTCGGCACACCGCGCCTCCTTAAACTGTTTAAGAAATACAACATCAAAGCCACCTGGTTCATTCCCGGCCACTCGCTCGAAACCTTCCCCGAAGAATGCGCCATGGTCCGCGACGCCGGACACGAGATCGGATTGCACGGATACAGCCACGAAAATCCCACAGACATGACAATCGAGCAGCAAAAGATTATTCTCGATAAGACCTATCGCATGATTACCGACTTCTGCGGGAAGCCACCGCGCGGTACGGTTGCGCCGTGGTGGGAGACTTCCCAGGAGATGACGGAGTTGCTGCTCGACTATGGGATTGAGTACGACCATTCAATGCTCCATCATGATTGTCAGATGTATTGGCTTCGGACGGGCGATAGCTGGACGAAGATCAATTATAGCCAGAAGCCGGAGACTTGGATGAAGCCCCTGGAGAGGGGGAAAGAGACTGGGCTGGTCGAGATTCCCGGGAATTGGTACCTCGATGACTTGCCGCCGATGATGTTTATCAAGAAGGCGCCGAATAGTCATGGGTGGGTGAATCCGAGGGATGTTGAGGATATCTGGAAGGTCGGTTTGGAACCTTGCCCCTGAGTTGAGGCCTGGTGCTGACTTCTGCTTCTCAGGACCATTTTGATTACTTCTACCGCGAGTATGATGAGTTTGTCTTCCCCATGACCATTCATCCAGATGTTTCTGGTCGTCCGCATGTTCTTCTTATGCATGAAAGGTAGGTCTTCATATGATCATGATGAATAAGCGGTTCTGGCACTGACACTTTTAGGATCATTGAACACATCAATAAGCATGAGGGCGTAGAGTGGGTGACAATGGAGCAGATGTGCGATGACTTTAAGAGCAAGAACAAGCCTCCAGCTGGCTCTAGAATGCCTACTTCCCCATCATCAGTACCTAAATAATCCGCAATCAGCAGCATGTTACAGGATGGCCTTCTTCGCATTCTACTTTCGCCATAGCCGGATATCCCGCTGTAGAGGTGACAGCTTGGGGGATTATGGAGAATGATTTGTCCTTTTCCCTCCAAGGTGATTTTTAGTAGTACACAGAGGGTATCGTGAAAGTGTATAGTGGTTCATGGGACAGCTCTCTAGGTACATATTCGCTTCATTAGTTAACCTTGACTCCTTCCTTCGACACCCTGCCAAATAATCGCTGCTTCACGACCTGGGAGGTTCAAATAGCTGTGGCTTCATATTCACTTTGCTGATTTTCGCTAGTAGTCCACTCAACTGCAGTAGACTTTGTACGCCATCAAGAATCCTCATATGTGTAAACCCGATTTCACGAATGAACTCCAGTTTAGAATGTTCGGACAGAGTAGGAATCGTCTTGGTCACCTTGAACATAGTGCTGATAATGTCATGGGCCGAGTATCCCAAGTCCCTGTTTGCAAATTAGCTAAGCCAAAGCTATCACTATAAAAACGGCAATACCATAGCTCGTTCAGTGTCTCCAAAGCGGAGTCCACTTTTCCCTCCCAGCAGGCTTTGATCATCGCCTGGACTTTGATTGGGTGAGGGCTATCAACCACGCGGAAGACGTTATCCCCGCTGACCAACCCAAATCCGGACCAGGTACTCTGTAAGTTGTTGAGGGCCTGGCGCATATCTCCTTCGGCACTGAATACTAGCGCTGCTAGTCCGTCCTCGGTGTGTTTTACCTGCTCTGCGTCGCAAACCTGCTTCAATCGCTTCACAATTTGTGCGTCGGTTAATCGGGCGTACCGAAGAATAGCGCATCGTGACTGGAGAGGCTCGATAATTTTGTTCGACTGGTTGCACGCAAAGGCAAATCGTGTCGTGGAGGAATAGATTTCCATCGTTCGCCGCAACGCCTGCTGAGCGCCGGATGTCATACTAGAAAGTCATGAGTGGCTTTCCCAAGCATATACTGAATAAACATACCTGTCGGCTTCATCAAGTATAACAAGCTTGTGGCGGCCAGGAGGTAATGTGACTTTCTTCTGGGCAAATCCTTTGATACGATTCCGCACCACGTCAATACCTTAATAGGTTGACAAGTTAGAGCTGACATTCTTAACGTCGGGACTGGTTATACCTCTCTCATCACTGGCATTCAATTCCAGAACAGCCTCCTTGTAAGCATCCCCCAGTAACTGCCGCGCCAGGCAGAGAATCGAAGTCGTCTTTCCGATACCAGGCATACCCGAGATAATCACATGAGGCATATTTCCATCTTTGGCGATAATCTTTAACCGTTCCACGGTTTCTGTGTTGCCGACAACATCGTCAAGGAATACTGGGCGGTACTTCTCGACCCTAAAATAGTATGTCAGACCCGAAGCTCTCGTATTTTCATCAAGCAACGTACCAGGGCAGTTCATAATCCGGGGGCGCCCCGGCAGTGTTAGCCTTTAAGGCATTGCGAGCAGCACTGGCGGAGGATTCAGCTTGAGCCATGAGTGCAGTCCGCTAGTCCAAATCCAATGGCGTTGGTGTTTGTAGGAATTGAAGTTGGGTCAAGCTCGGTGTTCAAGACGCGGCCCGCAGACGCGTTCAAATTCCAAGGGTACCTACGGAGCCCCAGTAGTAGCTATAATACCGCATTTGGCTAGGTATAGGTTGTCATGTTTGCTTTATTTGCACTGCTAGCTTCCCTGGACCATCCTCTCTACGAGTCTACATACCTACCATCAACATCATAAAAGCAGTGTTATACGGCATCTTTAAACAGGCTTAGTCCCTCCATTCGTTCAATCACAGTCTATGCGCAAATTGGACCATACGACATCCACTTCATAGTGATATCTGTGGTCAATTGAAACAGTATCACCCCTCCTAACTTGCGCCTATCCTTACCAATAAATGTTTATAATTTTTATGAACCTTTTTGAACCCGAACATATTGTTTGCCGAAATGGGAACAACATCCGTCCGCCGCAACCTTTTCCAGAACCACCTCAGCAGACACCCTGTCTCAACTACCGGTCCGAATAACGGGGCATCGGTCCTTTCCTCCCAGGTACTGCAGTCTAATGCGACTGAGTCCAATTCATCCATCTCTGCTGGGACCATGGACGACGGTGAGATTGTGGTGAAGGACAAGAACGGTAGCTTTACCCTGGATATACCAGTTCTGCCGCCTATCGAGGGGGAAGACGAAGATGAGATGGAAGGCGTTGAGGGAGGCGCTGGTGGGAGCTCTACGGCTGCTACGGGTGCTGATCCCACCGGGCAGTCTGAAATAAGTGGGCGAGAAAAAGAGAGTGGGTCAACGCCGTTGATACTGTGAAGATGGGTTGGAAAGTGTACTAACTTGGCTTGGAATATAGAACTTGAAGCGGGGCTTGTTGAGATCATGTACCGAAACCGGAACCGGCAAATGAGTAGTGAACCACATGGTGAGCTTGTCCTGTACTATTTCGTTTCGGATGACCCGTGTCGATGGCTGATGCTGGCAGAAATTCTAAACCTTATTTATCAGAGTCTCAGGAATAAAGTCGCTGCTCTGGATGAAGACAATTGGATGTATGAGCCAGAAGTCGATACACGGGTATAGTGACAGTATGTGTCATCTGCACATACCAATTGAGACTACAATGAGGTGGCTCATGCCCTACCTACATTCATACTGCCAGACGCTATCTAGTCAAGTTCCATATTTGACGGCGGGGCTTCGACCTTTCTCGGCAGAGCTCTCCCTGGCGCCGGCCTCCTACCGCTATCCTGACCACCTCCAAACAACATGCTGCCCATCATGTCCAACAGCGGGTTCCCCTGTCGAGGAATGTTGATCGCGAAGTACTGCTCGCCAATCTGAGGGAGCGCATCGTCAAGAATCCCTGCCTCTCTGATCTGCGTAGCATAGTGCGCAGTCAACTGCTTAAACAGATCCGCTGATCCTCGCTGAATAGCCAGCAGCAACAGATTGAGGAAGTTTACCAAGGGAAGGACTGGGTATACTCGAACGTCAGAGGTTGCGCTGCTGATCTCTTGCACGCCGAGAGTCGGATTGGCGGAGCTGAGGCGAGAGGTGAAGATCAAGAAGGACTTATTAGCACTGCGTAGGTTGCCAATCAAAAGGAAAGGGATTACGGCTCGTGCTGCATAAATGCCTGCCGTATGCGGCTCGTCGTTGGTGTACCACTCGTACTCAAGTTTCGCCAGGGTCTCGGCCGACTCGGACGTACCCAGTACAAGATGCTTTTCAGCTTCATAGGGCTCTTGGTCTGGTTCAATGTTAGAAAATACCATGTCCCATGTTCAGATGCGGTGTCTTCCTACCTTCCGCGTATACAGATCCAACTGCATGGTGTAACTCAGGATCCCCCCGCTCGGCGGGCCCGAACCGTCCACTCCACCCGATTGCTTCTTGGATAAACCTCTTTCGCGTAGGCTCCTCCGAAGGGAATTCGCGTAGAAGTTCGATTAGACGCTCTGCGGATGGCACCTTGTTAGCAGGAAACATTTCAGATGATAAAGGCCGATTTGTCAAGTAAGCAGTTTCGAACTCACTCTTACGAGCACGTCCCTCCGCATCATCATCGCCCCCCGCAATTTCCCAGCCTGCCTTAACATATACCTCAGCCACCAACATGATAGCGAGATCTCCTCCGCTGGCCGAAGCTCCCTGCTGCAATCCAGCCCTGAGGAGGGCAGTGGCGCCGCCAGCTAGAATCTCCGCTGCCGCGTCATAGTTGCTCTGTTTGATGTACCGCGCGGCGATCACTCGCAGTTGCTGATGAGCCTCGTAGTATGCCCCGGAGGCGATCCTAGAAGAAAGAGACGCGTGAATATTAGTCGGAGGCTTTTTTGGAGGCATGAACAGCTCCATGGAGCACACCGGAACTCACTTTTCTCGCTGTCGAGAAATGGTCTTGTCAATCCGTGAGGTCATTGTCTCTGGCGACCACGAGCCGGCGACCAGTCCGTTTGCAAAGAGAAGCAAGAAATATAGGCAGTAGACCGGGAGTATACTTTGTACTGGGAAGGTTCACTTGGAGAGCTGCAGAAATTGTTCTTGAGAAAGAAAAGAAAAAGAGTTGTTGCGCTGGACAGCTTTTGGTGGGGATGCCGACGATCGACTCGGGTCTTCCAGAAGGGCCGCTAAGATTAATACAAACACTGGACAACTCCCGTTCGATTACAAGAACTTATGTGTAACAAAGCAATACGTGGGTTGACACACTTCTATTCACCCGACCTACCAGAAAACATATCATTCTGGCCATAATGAATCGAGAGGCTTTCGACATCCAGCCCATCGGCCGCTTCTATGCATCTAGTGCTGCAATTCGGCGGCCCAGGGTGGGTTCTATAAGCATCAGCTTCCTCCCCACTTGTCTGGACATATCTAACAACTTCGGCAAAGGAAATCATATGTTTCTCCTACGATGACCAACACATCTTTCATCTTGGAGACTCATCCCTGCGGTACTACTACCCACCGCAGCTGCCGGCGGATCTGAACCGCGGATTTGACACTTTCCAGAAGTTGGAAGATACAGCAGATGAACATCTAGATGCTTTGCTGGAAACCATCGCTGCTTTGGAGAAGGAGACTGGAAAGCAATGTGAGGCTGATATTATCACTTGGCGAGGGATGATGACCAAGGTCAGTAAATTATGGCTCTTTTCAGTTGTGTGGCAGTATAAAACTAATACAATGACATAGATCCTCACAGCGCCATTTGACGATATGAATGGGTATTTACGCACCGCTGAGCACTAGCTACTCGCTGATATGTGCATATAGATTCGAAATGAACGCGACATGCTTTCAGGTAGGCTGGACTCGCTGTCTAAGATCTAGCTCAAGTCTTATTATTCTCTTAGGGAACTATGTGCGTATGTTCTTGTCATCTATGAGCCAGGGCCATATTCTGATTGGTATTCCTCGCTCAGATTCATCGAAGAGAACAATTCCTACAAGAACGAGCAGAAGCGGAAACAACAGCAGCAAAGAATGCCACCAGGGATGCCTTCCCAGGATCTAATGGCGTATTGGGGTTCGTTAGCATACTACCTCTCAATAATGATACCGCTCTTATCTGATAGTGGCTCATAGGCTACAAGTTTGAAACCATATCCGTCCTCGATAAAACATGGGATGCAGCCACCAGAGAAGAGATTGAGGGCCGCGAAGACCTTGTTGTGAACAACAACGCCCAATACTGCTCAGTTGCGCGCACCGGAATCGGTCATACAAAACTTATCCTCGGCGGCGAAGTCGATGCCAGTACGTTATCTCCCGTAATACTGCCGAACCTTCGAAAGTGTGCCTCTAACCGCAAACTGGCAGTTTGGGACAGTAAACCAGACCGCAAGGAAGACCCCATCAATTGGGTGGAGCTCAAAACCTCTGCCGAGATCAGAAATGACAAGGGCATGCTCAAATTCGAGCGGAAACTCCTCAAGTTCTGGGCGCAGTCCTTTCTTCTTGGGGTTCCCAGGATTGTCGTAGGATTCCGCGACCAGGACGGGATTGTACGGCGCTTGGAAGAGTTCGAGACAGCCAATATCCCGAGCATGGTGAGGAAATCAGGTCGTGGGACCTGGGATGGGAACATTTGCATCAACTTCGCCGCCACGTTTTTGGACTGTATGTTGCACCGCCTTCATATGATTTGTCTTTTGAGCGCGCACTGAAAAAAAAAAATTGTCTTCCAGGGCTCAAGTCAACGATTCGGGAGGGAGGAATATGGAGGCTCAGGAAAGGAGAGAGATCTTCCGTGATTGAGGTATACCGTGTTGAAGAGAGCGGCAGTGGTGACATCCTTTCGCAGGCCTTCCTAAACTGGCGTTCGGCGCCATGACCTAGCTTGATACCCCTTTTTGAATACCGCGGGCATCTGTCCGCGGTAATCGTGTGCCATGAAATTCAGACCGAATGGGTTAAATGGTGTACCAGGGGCTGTTTTGCAGATTTGGTTGGCTGTCGCAAATGACCTAACTAGCCCTTGACGCAAGTGCGATCGATCCATACTCCTCACTCGGTTCAATGACCATGTGTCACTTTGTCAATATTGTCTACCACTCAGCTGTCGGCTTGCGATGGCAGAGACAACACGTTCCTACCGCTACCTCTACCGCTGAATAGCAACGTGTCGGCAGCTCAACTCGGGATGTCTATAAAGTATGTCTCGTTGACAAATCTCTGTATTTGGGACTGAAACGATCTATTTGGATGCTACTCTCGAGTCCAGCTCTTGGGCACTATCCTGGAGATTTTCTTGACAGTTCTCTAAACCCTCTTGCCGCTTCCGTAAATACGCCTCCCGCTCTCGCTTCTTCGCCAAACTCTTCAAAACCTTTTTATGCACGCTTCCATAGATATGGTTTTGCCACTGCTCCTCGTTTGTCATTGTCTTCCGGCAGATATCACAGGTAATACACTTCGTCGATTTGTGGTCGATAGTTTGCTCCTTGAGCTCAAGAGCTGCCAGAGTAGCCTTAGCCAGCTCTGAGAGAGACTTGGGGTCCGGCAAAGGCCCTTCTTCTTCGAGAGCTTTCACAAGGCGCTCAGATGGCCCTGTGATGTTATCCGCCCAGTTTTCAACGTTTGTGCTATCTAAGAGAAACAAGCGATTGGTCATACCCGCTTCTGCAAGGCCAGTCCAGAGCTTGTTGCGAATCCACCTAATCTGAGACATGGCATACTGACGAGTTGCAATTTTGACCGCCCCGATACATGACTGCTTGAGGACGTCCAGTTCCTTCTCAGTCTTAGAACCGTCCCTCAGCGCGTTGAAATAAGGCGCTAGTTCCTTGAAGCCAATCGAAATCCATACACCCCGCGTCTGATCGACAGCCACACCCTGCGCCTCCTGCTCCTGGAGAAAGTCCGACATGCGGCTTGCTTCGGACAATAATCCCTGGTCAACCATGACATCCACCCGCTTGAACAGCCTCTCTTCCAGAGTAGACTTTTCCGAGTGTACCCAAAAAATTGCCGTGTTAAAGCGCAGTTGTTCCCCACCAAAACCATCGTCATTGTCTGCGATGGCTCGTTTCAATCGTTGCTGCTCAGCGTACACCTGCGACGCGGGTTTCCCCGTCTGAAAGTATATCTCTAACGAGCGCCGGATCTTGCGTGAGTCCCTTGGATGCCAATGGTCTGCCATTATGGGATCCACCTCGCGTAACTTCTGAAATACCAACTCCGGCTCCGCATCGAGGATCGGCCACTTGACTGCTGAGTCGACATCCTTCACTGGAAATGAACTTGCCTCTTCATCTGATGGTTCTACCTCTTTTGACACCAGTTGTTCCTGGAAAAGCACGGAATGTGTGTAGTAGTGCGTGCCGCCGACCAGGACCGGAAGCTTCCCCCGCGCATGGATATCGTCAATCAGTCGTAAACACTCCTTTCGGAACGTCGATATCCGCCATGGGTTCTCATCAAAATCTATGCAATTTATCAAATGGTGTGGTATACCGTTGCGTTCTTCGATGGGGATCTGATTGGTGATGATGGGGAGGCCGCGGTACATCTGCATCGCGTCGCCATTGATGACTTCGCCATTGAACCGAGAAGCGATATCAATTGCAAGCTATCTGTGTCTGTCAGAGCTGTTACGCGCATTTCCAATGATAAAAAAAGGGCGGCTGAAGGGTCAAGTCACCTTTGATTTCCCCGTGCCCGTAGCACCCACCACTGCTACAAGAGATCGCATCGCGGATGGGCGTCTAGGCGGAGAAAGCGAAGAGACGTATCTGAGCATGGGAAATCCGAAGGGAAGAAATATATCATGCTGAGCATTCTCTACAGATCCATGTTCCGGGTGTCTGGATCCTGGATGAAGTGCGAGAGATGTGGGGAGGGAGAGTAGATTATGTTGTTGGAGAAAAAAAGTGTTTCCATTATTAGGTACTTGAATTTCTCTCCTTGGATCACCCCACCTTATCGAGTCACCTTAGTCTGGGACTCTGGAAAGCTGATCGTTACGGAGATAACTACATCGCGTGCTTTTAGATAAAATCATTGTGAGTCATTTTCTACTTATATACATGTAAATGTCCTTTATTCATTTACCTTACTTTACTCAGCGTTCTTCAACTTCCAACATGACCGACTCTCCCGACATTCACGTACAGAATCTCTCCTACAAATTCCCGGATGGGTCCTCCGGCTTAACAGAAGTCGCGCTAGATTTACCAGTAGGGAGTCGGACTTTACTAATTGGAGGTACGCAATCCTACCACTTTGGATACATATCTTGTTAACTGATACCATCAATTCAGCCAACGGAGCCGGTAAAACCACGCTCTTGCGTCTCCTCTCAGGGAAACGGCTAGCCCCCAGCAACACAATCTCCATCTCCAGCAAAGACCCCTTCAAAGAGGGCCTCGAGGGCGTCACCTACCTCGGCGTCGAATGGGTGCTCAACAGCATTGTCCGAACAGACATTGACGTCCCCACCCTCCTCGCGTCCGTTGGCGGCAATGCGTACCCCGAGCGCCGTGACGAGCTCGTCGAGATTCTTGACATCGACCTACGATGGCGCATGCATGCAGTTTCTGACGGAGAGCGACGCCGCGTTCAGCTAGCCATGGGCCTCCTCCGGCCATGGCAGGTGCTTCTTCTCGATGAGATTACCGTCGATCTGGATTTGTTGTCGCGGAGCAACTTCCTCTCTTTCTTGAAGAGGGAGACGGAGACGAGGCCGTGCACCATTGTGTATGCGACCCATATTCTAGACAATCTGGCGCACTGGCCGACGCATTTGGTGCACATGCATCTGGGAATTGTGAGGCAGTGGGGCGCGATTGAAAAATTCAAGGCGGAGGCGCCTGAGACGTCGGAGAATAGCCAGCTAGGCGAAATCGTGCTCAAGTGGTTGAAAGAGGACTTACACGCTAGAGGGCCGCGGAATACGCGCGGCAACCAGGGGAAAACTTATGAGGCTGGGGGGATAGGGGGGTATGGATACGAGAAGAAGGCCTAGTCTCGGCTTCTTCCCTCCTATCCTGGTACTCTAACTTTTCGATTTATGGCATTTTCACGGTCTTTCAACAAAGACTTCCTACCATAGGACGTATGCCATGGGGCTTACAGTATCAGCATTTAGACTTGCTTGGGGTTTCAACATATAAGGGTCCTTCAACCTTACAGGAGTTTCAGCATTTTTGAGTCGGGAATGGGCGTGGCTTCGTTTCCTAGAATTCGATTCCTCGGGGGTATTCAACATCTTTGTGGTAGGAGTTATGTAATGATTCGCTGTGTTCATATGTTCGTTATGATGCAATGAGTCCTATATCTAGATATTATTCATGGATCCGACACCATGTCAGATATGCTATATATGCGTATTGAAGTGTCTTCGCTTGCCACAGCAAGCTCGAAGGTCATTCTATCAACCCTTGCCTCACCCATTTGTGTGAGAGGACGCCATGATAGCTCTGTGATTGTCTTTGACGGTGATTGGTCTCTATCGAGACTAGCCAATGGGCTGGGTTCGACGCCGTCTGCCTTGATCTGGTGGACGGAGACCTTTCCATCATCCTCTCCTGTTGCAAGGTAGAGCAAACCATCATAGATACGCGGTAGGAAGGACAGGGCTGTGACTGAGTTCCTTGTTGGAATGATAGCCTTGCACTCGATCGACTCCCCGGATAGCTGCCACAACTTGATTGATCTATCTCGGCCAGCTGTGGCAAAGAGAGGAGACTGAGACTCTGAGGCAGGAGCCCAGTCAGCATCAAGAATCATGCGCGAGTGGCCCTTGGGGTTCGATGTCATGAGCGCAAACATTGAGGTATTTGATTCACTCCGACGATAGACTGCCCACTGCCGATCCCGTCCAACACTGAGGAGATACTGGTCATCGGCTGAGAAGGCGAGACTGGTGATAGTCAAGGTATGCGCTGCAAGTGATGGTCGAATTTCGTGCCAATCGGACGTGTCGTACAAACGCACCACTGCATGGTCTATCGAGCTGGCCTTGCATGCAGTGGCAATAAGTGCGCGGTCATGGCTCACAGCCACGGCGGATATTTCGTACCCATGGCCATAGAGCTTTTCGTGTTCTGGCCACAGAGTATAACGAGCCAATTGGTCCTCAAGAGGAGGTTGAGTCGACTTGGACAATATTGCTTGATAAGCATGCGCTTGTCCAGCGCTCTCGGCCTCGGCCGTGTCTGCTTCCACAGGGGCTTCGCCAAGAGCTTGGTTGGACAATCCCAAAACTGGTATCTGCGCTGTGTCAGGAAGATCGCCCTCTGCATTCTGTGAGAGTCCGGAAAGATTTTCCAATAGTCTGGCGATTGGTGCAGGTTCGTTGAATACTCGTAAAAGCTTCTCTTCGGCACCTGACACAAAACGCTGCGGACCCAAAGTGTCAACGCAGTTCAAGTCATAGCCATGGATCTGCGGCCGCGAGAATTCGTGCCATGACCTTTGACTATCACAAAGCCACTGCGCATGGAGTCGAGTTGTTTGGTCGGCGCTTGTGGATAGAAGATAGCCACCTGAAGACTCCCATTGAAGTCCGTTAGCGGATCGCACATGTCCGGTAATGCCCAGAGTTTGGACCCAGTCATCAGACTCGGCTTGATACTTCCATGTCCTCCAACTGCCTGTACGTCCAAGGCTAACAACTTGGCTACCGTCAGGCGACCAAAGACCAATCCAAAATCCGCCAGTACTACCAGTGGCTGTGGTAGAGCCTTTCTGGATACTAAGCTCTCCCATTCGTTCCGCGGAGAGCCATACTCCGGAGATTGGGTCCTGTTCCCATATAGTCAGAGTATTGTCTGCGGAAGCAGTGAGAAGTTGCTGGCGCTCTGGATTGGGGTTCCAGGCGGTGGTGTAAATCCAATCTTCGTTGCCAAACAAGAGAGCTTCAAACGTCATGGAGTATTTGGATCCTGCTGCTTTAAATTGGTGGGCTTTGTTGGACAATGTTGGCTCGAGCCCACCGAGAACAGGGTCTTCATCAGGCCCCACAGAACCAGAAGCTGCGGCCTCACCACGGTTCAGGCGCCATAATCGAACATACTTGTCCTGACTGGCAGAAGCAAGCAAGAGATCCCCGGTCTTGCTCTGCATGTCCACTGTGAACGAAAGGGAGCGCACCCACGCCTCGTGGCCAGAAAGTGTAGCGGATACTTTGAAGCGTGGTAATTCGTGTGTGTTTTCAGCAGTGTATATCTGCACTGCATTGGTGGTTCCAGCGACTGCCAACGCAACCGGTCTATCTTCCGTGTCTGTCGGAAGCGGTGCCAGTGCTAACGCCAGTGGGAAATAACGTGGTTTCATGGATAGACTCTCCAATAACTCTCCTTTCACAGATTCCTTGACATCTATCCTCCAGATCTTGACAGTTCCATCCGCCCCTCCTGTTGCGATGATATCAATCCCCGCACCTGTGCCTATCGCGTTGACGGAGCCGGTATGCTCTGTCAGGGTAAGCGCATGGGTGAATTTCCTTTGGTCAATTGTATCGGTACGCCATAATCCCACGGTGCAGTCGACAGAACCAGTTAAGAGGAGCTTCGTTCCTGTAGTGGGACAGGTATAGAATCTGACGACGTTGACTTTGTCGGTATGACTAACAAGGACCGAATAAACTCCCCGGTGAGATTCTTCCTGCATGCATACGGAAACTTGGATTAGACTTGCTAGATTTTGGAGTCAGGAACTTTGAAGCCACGAACCAGAGGATCCCACAAGGCTACATTGTTATCTGCACCGTACGCGAGGATGCCGGTCTGCACATCCCAGTCTGCGGCAGCAGGGTGCCTATTTCCACCAACGCTGATGTATTCTGATGTGAATGAGACCATGAGGTAGGTGGAGAGCTCGACTGGGAATTCCAATGGCGTTACTGAAGGACAATGAGTGAGCTTCTGACGATGAGGTACTGATGGTGTCCAAATCGACTTTTTTGTGGCTTATCGATACGGTACCTAAAGGCCAAGCCAGCAAGATCAAGACTCCAAGAGCCCCTCCTCCGCTCAGCCTCTCCGCTTTTATAATTTACCCCTCGGGCAGGAACCGGTGGGCATCTCCAGATCTGTTTATCTTTGCCTCGTCTTTTTTCCCTGTATTGAATTGCATCTTCCAAGGAAGCGATACACTTTTTGCAATGGCGCAGAATGACACTATAGCATTTACTGTCGAGTTTACGTATGTACTATGTTCCCTTCGCTAAGGTTATGTTGAGTATAAGCTTTCTGACATTTAATACCCAGAGGCGGCTTAGAAATACTCTTTGCCAATGAGCGGCAGCATAAGGTGATACTTCCGGCTCAATTAAGCGACGGCACTCGACCGAATATATCATATCTGCTCCAGTACCTGATCGATAATCTGATGAAGGATCAGAGAAAAGAGCTTTTTGTGCTTGAAGATAACGTGTATGTATACCTGGGGAGAGAAAGGGACAATATGACTGAATTTCGCGTCAGACGACCCGGAATCCTGGTCCTTATCAACGATGCCGACTGGGAACTAGAGGGGGAGGAGAAATATGAGATCCAGCAAGGGGATAATATAGTATTTGTGTCTACGCTACATGGAGGATAATTTAGCCCACCACTCGCAATCGCTCTGATTTATGACAAACGTCTGCATGCTGGAGATCCATGGCCGAGTCTAGACTACATCCTCCACGTGCTGCTGTGAAATCCGCTCAGGCTCGCGAGGAGTTCGAATGCCACCCTGTGGCGTCACCACGCCGTCGTTGGGAGAACCTATCCCTTGCACTGACGGAGTGTTGAGTCCGCTTGGAGGTACCGGAATCTTTATATCTTCGGGCGAGCCAGGAATGATCTCCTTCGGGAGGTCAGGAATCTGAATCCTCCGCGCCTCATTCTGGTAGCTCTCGGGGATTATCTAGAGAGCAATTAATCGAAAATAGCTCATAGTCTCACAATAGACACAGGCTTACCTCTATTATTTCATCACGCGGAAATTCCAAGAACGGAATGTCTGCAGCATTGCACGCCATAAGGTAACCATATAAAACTCTAAGCACGCTTTCATGGGCGATGATTAGCAGATCGTTCTGTTCACGTTCCAGTTCCAGGATGATAGGCTCAAGTCGCACAGCAAGATCGTGGTAGGACTATATGCAGTTAGCATCTGCCGGGAGGGAAAGAGGAAGCTCAACCCAACCCACCTCGGCCCGGGGGTATCTATGATGATAAGGGTCGAGCTCATGTTTGGCCACCTCTTCAGGGTATTCTTCCCGAATCCTTCTCTCGGACTTGAGTTCGCAGACACCAGGGTTCAACTGACTGAGTTGCGATCTCTGCCGGACTTTGTACCCTGTTTCATGCAGATATTTTGCTGTCTCGACTGTCCGACGTCTCGTAGAAGTCCATACCGTCAAAGGCTTGAGTTCGTAATCAGTCTCTCCTCCCTCGATTATCGCCTGTTTTTCCAACTCCCTGTCCTTCAATAGGGTTTCAGTCATCTTTTTGGCATAGTCCTGACCTTGTTCGGAAAGAGGCCCGTCAGCCTTGTAGGAGTTCGGTTCTACTGAGACCCCCGCCTGACAAATTCAAACAGTGAGCAAAATATTCCGTTACATAAATTGGGATATGCCACTTACCCTAGCAAAGTAGGTGCGCCTAGTCTTGATGTGGAGATTGAGAAGATAGAACACGATCCGGTTCGACAGGTAACCAAAACTTTTGTTATTAACAATCAACCTTTCACCCGCATTGATCATCTGTGCCAAGGTTTAGCAAGCTAGTAAATGGTTTATGAACACAATGTGATACCTTTATATAGTTCAGATCCTTCTCTTCCATCGTATGGAACTGAGGGATTCGGGCAGAGATCCGAGCTAGATAATGCTTGACGGCATCCTCGGATGTCCAACCCACATACTGATGACAGTCAGTGCCAATCGAGCAAAAGGAATCGAGGGCACACTGACATCCGGCGACGAAATCTTGACCCTGCGGACATTCTCTTCAATGATGCGGTAGTCATCACACCATGACTCGATGAACAGCGTCTAACGAGCATGGTCAACATCACATCTAAAAACAGAGATGCTCGACGAACCTCGATTTCATGTTTGGCAAATTCATTAGCTAAAGATCGTCGCCCAGCGGCCGATGGATTCACAGCGTCGTAAATCGCGATCTGGCCGTTCTCCTCATTCAAAAACTGGTAGATGTCCTCACGGCATCTTTTCACAATCTTTTGTCTCAGTAGAACAGAAGATGCGGATGCTATTGCGTGGTCAGCTGGAGAAGACGAAATCAACGAGGCATGCAAGGGAGGCGAACGCCCTGTGGCTGGCATTTAGGAGGCCCCTCGGGCATTATCTAGCTTGGGCAACTGGCATGTGTTGGGTGCGACGGGGCAGAATAATATTTGATGGCATCTTCAAATGTCCAACACACACATTACACAACGATTCTGCTTGAATGACACGTACCGTTGACAAAGAAGTAATCATCCGGTATGTCTTGGCCGTGAGGAATCGTAGCTCGTCGATAGTCTCCCAGATGAAAGATCCTGGTTTTGACTCCTAGCCTACAACACAATTAGGCGACTCTGACGAATCTTGACAAGCGGTACAGCCCACCTACCATCGAAGGTAACGCGCCATTGCCACAGACATGTGGCTAACTAGCGATTAGTTTCTGGAAACTCAACGTGCTAAGATTACGTGATTCAACGCACGTCTTGCCCCTCGCGGGGAGGCCTACGGTGATGATGACAATTCGACCCGAGTGGAATAGCCTACCAGACTCAGTGCTGTACAACTGAGCCGGGGCAAGATCGGCCTTTTCCGGTAAGTCATGGATGGCATCGACAAATGTTGACGACTTTCGTCGAAACCGTGGGGAGTTGACGACAATGTCCGCGGTTCTAATCGGAGTCAGTTCGCGCAGCTGTGAGTCTTAATTCGTGAAGGCAAGCTGAGGGGGCAATGTGACTTGCGAGGTAGCTAGGCGCGCTTGGAATAAGAGCTTACAAGAGGGTATCCATGGTGGTAATGAATGCCCAACACCAGGGCTATACAATAAAGTAAAGATCGAGTGATGACAAAACTGTCTGCAAAAAAACGCGGTATAGATAATTCAATCGGGCAATCTAATCTGAATGGTGACAAGGTGCTAAGTCGAACCAGCGGGGTGTGGGGGGAGAGAAAGAGCAGGATGACCAACTCTAGCCCAGCTCGTCGGTAGCTGTAGGTATAGGTCCCGTAGTCCAGCTTAGTCGGCAACGATGTAAGACTCGAGGAGAGACAGTCCGGTGATAGAACCGAATCCGTAAGCCACGGCCCTCGAGTGAAATATCTAAACAAAAACGAGCATCAGGGACAAGACGGCTGGCAAAATTAAACAAATTCATGCTGGATATGGAGTACAGTCGTCGGTATCCCACCACATTATATCATCTCGGCCAAAAAGAAAGTCCCGTTCCGGAGAATCCGAGGCGGCGGCGGCAGCGCAGAGGGACCGGAGACGCAACCCCAAGCAGTGCCAGGTGACTTTTTTTCAAGCTGAAACTGCGATTCTAAAGGTGTTTCTTTGAGACATCAACATCACAAGCAAACACCCTACTGCTGTGGTGTCTCTTCTTTGCCATCTCACTTTTCCGAAACCAGTAGGCGAAGACTCACCTTGTAACTTGAAGTTCTTCAGCCTAGTCACTACATCTGAAGCTTGGTTCCGGAGCTGATCTTGAAATCCTTTCATTTCCTGTGTACACCGGCCGCGTTCAACGACCACCGAACAACCAACTCCAGCTTTTCTGGCTCGGCCCTATTCCACCATCTCTCTTCACCCTCTATCAGCTACAATGGCCGACCATCTAGCACTCCCTAGTTTCCTGACGGACAATTCCGTCGTCGCCGCACTTCAGGATACATATACTTCTTTCTCCGAGCGCAGGGCAGCCCTTGGCCTGCCCAACCCTGGGACGGTGGAAAATGTTGGTCGTGAAGTCCAGAAGGATGTTTTGCTGTTCAACTTCATGTTTTCTGGCCTCCGTGCAGACCTGACGAAGATGTTCAGCATGGCTCCCCTGTTCCGCGTGTCGCACGCCTTTTCCATGGGCGGCTCAGGAAACATGGCTCCGTACGCATTCTCCGCGATGTACGGAACCTCCAGTGTAAGCAACAATAATTCCAAGCTGCTGCAAATGAACCCTGAGTAACTGAATCATGTGGACAGGTCTTCATGCAAGGTAACTTCGGAAGCGACGGTGGCCTCGCTGCCCTATACAACTACCGGTGGACTCCGAAACTGGTCACCAAGACCAACGTTCAGATAATGCCCGGAGCGGAGCAAGGTCTAATCCAACTCGACAATGACTATACTGGCGATGACTTCTCATTCTCCCTCAAGGCTTTCAACCCTTCGTGCTTGGATGGCGGTCTCACCGGTATCTTTGTTGGAAGCTACCTCCAGTCCGTGACGCCCAAGTTGGCTCTTGGATTTGAGGCCATCTGGCAACGACAGGGCTTGAACACTCGCCCAGAATCTGCTGTTTCCTACTCCGCCCGGTACAAGAGCGATGACTGGATTGCGAGTGCTCAGCTGCAGGCCCAGGGCGTTTTCACTGCCTCCTATTGGAAAAAGATCTCCGAACGTGTTGAGGCTGGCGTTGACATGAACCTCCAATTTGCCCCTAGCGCAGCGGCTATGATGATGGGCGGGCCCAGCAAGGATGGCACAACCGCCATCGGTGCCAAGTACGACTTCCGAGCCTCAACCTTCCGCGCCCAGGTCGACAGTGCTGGTAAGGTTAGCTGTCTCCTCGAGAAGCGGATAGCTATGCCTATTGCTCTCACATTTGCTGGTGAAATAGACCAGGCCAAGGTACGTTGCAAACTCTTATCTATTACTCGAGACTTGCCCTCGGTATGACTTCGTGATCAGTCGCTAATTAATGTTGATTATAGCAAACCGCCAAGGTTGGGCTTGCTGTCTCCCTTGAGATCGCCGGGGAGGAAGTCATGGAGCAGACAGAAAAGGCCGACCCCTCGACGATGGTTACCCCGCCGTTCTAATCAACATATCTATCTTACCGATCTCACCGGGAGCAATCAGGTCCGCCTGGATTTCTAGGTAAAAAGGGCAATAGCTCTTTTGGTCCGCCGTGAATTATCCTCCCTCTTCACCCTTTGTTTTAGTAGCTATTCCTCCATCCATGTGCATCTTTGGAAAATGGTGTATTCCCTGTTTGTCCAGTTTAATAACGGGTTGTTGGTCAACGAAGGTAGTCGTTTGGCGCCACGGTACCAATTTTGTATAGATCCCTCTTCTCTTCTCATTGTTTTGTCTTTGTTTTATTGTTTATGGCTTCATCCATGACCGGCGACCCGTTCTCATGATATTGTTACTATCCCTTTTGATGACACTTGGCTGGTCAATGAGGATTTTGCCAGTGACGCATGGGAGCACATGCAGGAAACTTTTCTCGTCAGTTACGCATCATAGATGGACAATGTAAACCATGTTATTTATCAGGAGTAAGGCGGTTCAATATATGAAACTTGGAGAGTTTCCAGGAACATCAGGTTGTCGAGGTTTGTCTGACTCAAGCTGTTCACTCGACGGACGCTCACGGATCGCATCAATGGGTTGTCGTATATCTAGGTACTTCTAGAACTTCTAAACCCGGACTTGGCTACAGACCCAGTTTTACGTTCTCATGAGCAGCCAGTAATTATTCAATAGTTAAATTGGTTTCCATATCTCCCATTGCTCAAAAACCGTTACTTCAGATTACTCGAAGCCGGGTATTGGCAAATAGCAAATAATAGAGTCTGTTTCATGTCAAGATAGTGTAGAATACTCTTGGTATGAGACCCTGGGCCAATCCACTATCCGCATCGCTAATCAAATACACAAAGTATGGAACAGGTGCGGCAGGTAGTATATGATATTGATTTAATGATATAAATCAATGTGCTTACACTTGCAAGGGTGGTCTTGACACATCCAAAGAATGGGTGAGGTCATGCTTGTTTGGCGCTATTCAATAGGACCACGCCGGCCATAACCAAGTATGCTTCTTCAGGTGGCAATTCTTGGGCTGAATATTATGGATTATGGAATCCGTCCATGGTCGACCAGGACTATGGAGTATGACCTCTGTCGTTATTCGCTGTGAGCTCAAATGTGACGTCATAGCCTCGCTTGTTTCCAACGGCCTAAGGGTAAACGGTCTCCCAGCGGGCTGTATATGCCGATAACGTGGTCAGTATGCGGCGGGTCGTTGCAAAAGGATGGAAGGGGCTCTGTGTTGAATGGTAGTGTTATTAGCATGAGAGAAGCGTCAGCTCCCCCGCCGCCTCTTGAGTTGATACAAGGGCTAAAGTACTCTGCAGTTATCAAACTGGCTGGACTTCAGTCGGTTTAGCACATGCCAGAAATGGACAGCAGCAGGCGGCAGGGCAGGACACATCTGTGACTGCAGAGTGCAGACGGGCCTCAGAGATCGGGTACTGACCGCTCAGCGTGTCACCAATCTTCCCCTTGCGATCCCAGCACCAGGGGTGCTAGTGCCACTGTGATGGGCGTGTTACCGGATGTGGCGCATGCCTCGAATCCTTGTGCCTCGTGAGACGGCTTTTCATGGACAGGGCAACGGCTCCCGGCAGGCCCTATACATGATAAGTAGGGCGATTGATAACAGATAAGAGTGTTTGACGATCATACAAAGTAGCACTGCTTCGCGAGGTATGATTTCGAGTAACCCTTAATGCTGAAATGGCGTACTGATTAGGAAGGAAGGCAATTGCCCTGCACTCACTCACACATTCGTCAGAGCCCTGTTGTCGGACAGGGCTGGTGATGAGCAAATGAATGGGCTTGCCAGTGGTTTCAGGCTAATGCTGCACCGCAGCCCACCCGTCTGCGGCCTCAAGTCAGACGGTTGGGTTTCGATTGAGCGTGTGCTTTCCGAACCCACGGTCCCATTGTAAACTGCCTGCGCTCGTGTGGTCTGCAAGCGTCCATCCAGTCAGAGTTGCCTTCATACGCGGAGCAATTACTACTGCGTAATAGGTCATTAGCATTACATATCCTGAAGTCTGCCAAATGGTAGTTTTGAGCGTATTGAGCATTTAGAAAAACCCTTCAATACTCACGCTGGTTAAAGCTTAAACAAAGATGTGGGACGAGGGGTTGCCATGTTGAGCCAGATTAATCCCTGTCAATCGTTATTAGAAAGCCTGTCTGATTTTCCAGATCCACAGTCCAGGTTCGATCACTGATCGGATGACTTTTGACAGAGAACATGGTCCCGAAGTAGAGCGAGGAATATACCCGAATAATGCATCAACTCCAGCTCATAAGCAGTCTGTTGCGCGCAGTTGTATTCTAGATTGTTTCAAATGCGCACCGCTCCGAGGGATATAGTCATTGGTTGCAAGGCAATAATATACTTTGGTTGGTCCAGGGACGTATCGTGCAGAGTGCCGGCACACCGTAGTAGTTGGTTCTTGATGCCGGTTAGCGAGGATTCCGGGCTTCTTAAACGATGCGAAATACACCAAGATGGTTCCTGATATCGGCACTCGCCGAACTGTTCGGGAAAAAAAGATGCCGGAATATATGTCACGGCCTCGACACCATACTTCCCTTCTCCCAATCTGCAAAAGGTCAAATCAAGGCACGTACTCGGACTGTGCATGAATATCCACAGGATTTTACGGAGTAGCGAGCCTGTAGCGAGATATGCTACGGAGTTATTGAGCAGGTAGATTCCTCGACCCGGAGTACAAACAATGCACTCGGGTGACTCGGCTCAGCATGAGCTGGACATGCATGCCGGTACTCCGTACACGCGGATGGAATGAACATTGCTAATGTGCAATGGCACAGCATCACCGGCCATGCCCATATGTTAAGACCAAAGGCCTTGCCCCTGGGCAAAAAGTACGAAGTCAATGAAAACACACTCCGACTGGACAAGCAATTCGACCGCCAGTCTAGAATTCTCATCTAAGACCCATTTTTAGCACTTCATTGCTGTCCCCAAAACCTGGTACCTCTCTAAGACGCTGTGTGACTCAGTCTAGCGTTATGAAGCCTCTGTTTTTATATATTTAATATTGCAGGCTTGGATGCAGCTGATTCCAGTCATGTCGAATTATCCAGCGCTACATGGCCCCGATGGGATGAAGGCCACCGCTGAGGCATTAATCGCTGTGCCAAAAATGTTCCACCTCACTGTACTTTGCACATTCTGTCCAGCTTTTGCAACGATATCATCGGCAGCTCCAGAGCCCAGACCCGGACAATCCCAAGTGTCTGTTGGACTGGCCAGCGGCCGAATCTGCGTACAGTGAGTACAGTGAGCCACGGCTGGCGATCGTGGTTCTCGCCGAATTTGACAAGAGAATCAATACGAAAACATCGCTAATAATATCCATAAAAACGAGCTGTGGCTGGGCTCCTGAAAGGTTATATCGCCAAATCGCCAATAATAGTTTGGGAACTCGACCAAGATCGGCCGGAGAGACAAGGCTGGGATCTCAAACACGAGCCGTTTCTACAATCCTCGTTCTAGAAGCGTATGACGCAAGGCGGAAACGACTGAATCTGATCGACAGACATGGCAAAGGGAAGCCGCATGGAGTTGACCAAGCGTACTACGGAGTACCGTAAGGTAGCTCCGCATGCACCAAGAACACCTGGCCTGGATCGATGTACGAGGAAGCTCTAGGTGCGAAGAGGAAGAGGTATCCGACAAAGATGCCCTAAGTTACTCAGAATCTGACCCTCCGCATGCCTTTGCTTTACGGTAATAGTTCCTGAATTAGTAAGTAACTCCAGCAGCTCCAGCAGATCATCTATTGCCAGCCTGACATGGATCACGGTCAGTTGCCCCTACCTACAGTACGTAACAACAGTCAGTGAGCACTGAGAAGTCACCTGGGTTCCTGATATATCTCAGGGTTTTATAGCTTCTTATTCGACTGAGCCAATCGTGATGTGTCCCTGACCCGTTCAGGTACGCCTGCTGAACAGGAAGTTGAAACCCTGCCCCAACCAGATTATAGTTGCTGATTTATACTCTGTAACTACCCTATGTGAGATTAACTATGACAGGCAGTTTGAGGTTGAGAGCACAGCAGCGCAAGCGTACATTTGAACGACAATGGCCATCTATCGTGCTACTTGGATTACCTGCAATTCGATGATACTAGAACTCTTTACTCTCGGAAACAGAAACCAGACAAGATTCAGCAGCGGATAAGGGCTGACATGCAATGGCCACCCAACGCCACCCGTTCCCAGCGCTGTTGAGTTCCCGGCATCTGGCGGGCAGACCACTTGAACCTGCTTGGTCTGAGATCATCATGAGATGCTCGTCATATCTCTGGCCTTACGGAGTACTGAGTACTGACTAGAGGAGCTACACTAGATCAGAGCTGCAGCTGAGCACGGAGCACCCGACCACTATCTATGGAGTAACCCCTGCTAGTTCAAAACTAACCGCCACTATGCCGAGCTATCACTGCTGGCACCGACGGAGCTTCCAATAGTTATTGTCGTTTTATCCGCAGTCAGTATCTTGTTTACGCTCAAATGAAGCTCCCTTTTCCGGGGCTAGTGCTCCGTACATTAGGGGCTATGCCCTAGCCAGCTGCCTTCTGATTATCATGGCTGTTGAAGCCTAGATTCTGGCTTGTACTGCGGCGATTCTTGAATGTCCCGCGTACTGAGCTTTACAGCTTTACCGTACTGGGGGCAAACCAATCTAGCCAATCAGATAAGGTACTAGTACTAGTATAAGTAGTGAAAAGCGGGCATGGTCACTTGACACCCAAACTCATGGCACGCCTGCTGTCACTGGAGCACTCAGGTTAAGGTCGGAAGGTATGACGCTATGGAGGAGAGTTGCCCTTACCTTGCCGAAAGCAACTCAAGCAAGGTAACTGCTGCGCGACCCATGGGTACAAATAATAGTTTATCGCGGGAGAAGAGGCCTACCGGTGCCCGGCCAAACGAACGCTGTAAGCTGCGCAACTTGAGCATCCACAGATCCTATGGTGTGATCTCTGGAGTCTGGAGTCTGGACGGGACCTCGAGATGATGCATGAAACAAAGTCGTTGAGTTGTTGAATCGTCAAGCCCCAGGCCGGGCCAGGAGCTCGTCTGCAGCGAGAGGAGTCGATCACTCAATGACGGGAGCGGCTGATGTGGAGCCACTGGGATTGGGCGTAAGACACAATGTGGGTAACCAATTGCTGCACCTGCAGTGGGAGAATGCCCCATACAAAAAAGACCAGATGACCACTGCATGATCCCAAGAGCCTTTGAGCCTGAGCTGGGACATACGTGTGTAGATACCAGGTTTCGGACGTGATTGAGGATTTGTGCTTGAGCTCCGGATATTTGATAGAGCAGCTGCAGATGCCCAGAACTACCCGCCAGTTTGGCCAATCCTGAGTGAGTTTTATCGCTGAGAAGGTCTGCGAGATGCCAACCGTCGGCTATAAAGATGAGGAGAGAGAGCTTGGACCAGGAAAAGCTCATCCATAACAATCAACGCGCGCAACAAGCCACTACGGCGTACGGAGTACAAGATATACTCTTATGCTGTCCGCCATCGTTCGTTCGGACTATGGCCGACTCGAAACGAATATTAAAGCTCAACATCTCTGCCCCTAATATTCGACCTAATCAGGCGTCCATGAAAACGCTGCCCTTCAAAGAACTGATCCAAAACAGCAGCCGAACATTATGAAATAACCTCCATGTCACAGCTTCGAAATATGGAGAAATACACAGGGCTCGTGACCTGTATGGTAATATTACTAAGACCACGACCCCTCTTTTTTGACTTCCAGCTGGAACCACCTCAGCGAGCATCACCAGTGTCTCTACGGAGCAGACTAGTTACCATGATCATGGATCAAGAAGAGGGCAGGCTCCTACGGAGCTCTCAAGAGCAGCACTGTACCTAGTACTATTACTAGATATTGAAACTGGAAAGATATATAGTAGCAAGTAAGTAGGAGGTATAGGTCATGTTCCTTCCTCAAATGACGGGCGACTAAACTATGAGCTGCTACACTTAGCGACATCTTATTCATTATCTTAAGAACCAACGCTACTGTGTAAAATTCGCTATCCTTATGCCGGCGGCCATAAACAGAAATCCTTCAATCCGGACGCTGCGAGCAGGAATCCCAGCCATCATCATCCTTTGCCTCTCCACAGTCCGCACACTGCCACAGCTCCGTGCTAGACCCCCTTCCGCGATCTCAAGTCTCCCAGATATTCGGACATTCACGTTGCTTTTGCCAGTTTGATTTTCTTGGGACCTCTCTAGAGTGTGCGCATTCTTGCTTTTTCCAGTCAAAATTTCTTTGCCCGCCTGTCCAGCTTACTGGGAGCCAGAGTGTGTGTAGAAAGAGGCCTTTGGATAGCAGTACTCTGTACTCCCTATTATTCTTCATCTTCTCATCCTGCTCCCTCTGCTCCGGTGCTTTATTGCCGCGTTCCTGCAGCCCTCGCGTGTTTGGGCTTCGTCGCTCCATCAACGTCACCTGCTCACTTCATCCCTCCCCCGACCCATTCTCTTTTTAATAATACCTGACCCGTAAATCCACCCTTCTTTGCATCTGCCCCTGCTCTCTCTGGTTCGTCGTGACTTAATTCCTCTACCTGTTCCTCGAACTAGTTACCTCTCTTCTTTTCCCTTTTTTTTATTCTCTTTCTTCCCTCCGCTCCTACTTCTTATAACTGCTTGTTTCCCTCCCGGAAAGGAAGAAAGCTACTGCCGACACCTCTCTAGCCACTACCCTCCCGTTCGGAGCGCTCCCTGGCCTTGCGTCTGTGCTCTTGGCACTCTACCGGGGGAGCAATTGATGCTGACCAGACGGCTAATGCTGCTGGGATAATGGCATACCAGGCCGACGGAGTACCGTACTTGTCTACGTACAGACGACGAGCAGCGCTGGCCAGCCTATCAGCCACAGACTCGCACAGGCCTCTGCAAATAGGTGTGTTGGGCTATCAGCACAAAAGGCCAGCTTTTATTATCGCCTTAAGCCGCCCCATCCGCCACCCAAGTTCAACTGTTCAACTGTTCAAGTTCAACATGGAGTGTGGGGAATAGCCGACGGGTGATGTGCGCTCAGCGGGCGGCAGGGCCCTTAACCCAAACCGCGTTAGGCGGCCTGACCCAGTGCCCGGAGCAGAACCGGGTCCCGCAGTGATGCCACTTCAATCCGTGATTACTATTTCTATTGTGTTGCATGGTGAGCAACAGGTGCCTGTCTCTGACTCTTTGTACCTACGGAGTAATACCTTTCAGCGCAAATACCCTTGTTTCGGTCACCGTGGCCAAGAATCAGAGGTTCAGGGGCTATCTTATTATCCTATGCAGCATTACTCGGAGCAGTAAGGAGCAGTAATAATTGGACCCTTATCTTTTCTATCTATGGATGGAGGGGGTAGAGGAAGTGTGTCTGTCTTTTTTTTTTTCCCGAATCCTGCTGGGGAGAGCTCATGGCATGATGGCCATGGCCACGTTGGAATGTGGGGAAAGCTGGAGGATCGTTTCGTGGCTCAGGCGCTTTGCATAGGTATGGAGTATTCCGTACATACATAGCAGGGGAGCGAGGGCCGAATAAGCAAGCAGATAAGCGGCTTGCACAGCTGGTTGGGATAAACTCGCGAGTTTTTTTTTGGGCAGACTCAATCCGATCCAGGACAAGATTCATCGTAATCTAAGCTTCGGCCGCTCTATGTAGCCAATACAATATTGCAGCTATAACCTAGGTACTCTGCGCAGGAGTAATGCCCATGTGGCGGTCGGGCATACTCTATACTTTACATACTGGCAGTCGCTATTCCAGATCAATCAAACGCGGCGCATACTATTAATATGCCTATACTGTCGACTATTCACAGGCTCTGAGAAGTGAGAACTAAGACCAAATGCAGATCAGCCATGTGGCCTAGATAATGGGCCAACTAGCAGGTCCAGCAAGAGAATGATCTGGTAGGGTACTAACTGTATAAGCGGCGGGAGCTACTGACCCGTCACCAGATCGTGATCCTTAAAAGTTCCTTTGCAGTGTGCATGTACATTTTGATATTGCAAGGTTCGAGGGGATGACTACTCTGGCCATCAATTGCTAGACATCAAGGCACAATCGTGGAGAACAGGCCTGCCTTTCCTGAAAGAAGGTCGATTAGACGCTTGATTAGGTTGGGCTCAGCTGCTTAGCGTGGAGGTAATGCGAGTCTGCTTTTGCGGAGTTTTGAATGAATTGGAAATATACTACATAATACATCTATCTACACCGTCTGGGCTGTACATAGTAAATCCCAATTGTCTTGATTTCCACGCTAATGACCATAGCTTTGCAGAATGAACAATACTAAGTTGGAGGGAATCTTTCATATACAAGGCAGAGATTGTGCCTTTTCATGTGGACACATGTTGTGGCCTAGTCTCGAGATTTAACAAGTCTGAGGACCACCGCGCATGGTCTGCTGAACGTACGCGACTCCTCTGACGCACGGAGCCGCCTCACAATAAATAGTCAGGTTCTGTCAGCTTGTCAATCTCGACAAAGTATCCCACGGCGGAACAACTTCCGCCTTCGAGCTGTTTCCACTTTCCATGCCTGCCGCGTTTTATGTGCGGTTGGCGCGGTGGGATTTTCCCCTGATAGACATGGATTCATGATGTTTGAAGGCCTAACCCGCATAAGTGCTTCGTGCGTCAGCTATTCCCTCGTAGGTTATAGTGTACACAAGGCATCTTGAATGTTGGGCGAGACTGGGTAGTCAACCATGAACCTGACGATTTGCTAATCAACACCCAGGTGAAAAATGTATCATTGGCCGGCAAGTAGTCACCCGTGTTCACCTGCACAGCATTGTAACAGGTGCGAAAAAGGAATATTGTACTAATCAGCGTTTTCTTAGTGTGTCATGTTGACTAGCAGGTATCCGAACCAGTGTCGCCGGCAAGGGTAACTCGGTGGACACCTCACCCTGTTCGTCAATGGTCGGTTCTTGACCTGGCGCTTGGTTCAGCGTCGTCAGCTTGGCTAAATCAATTAATGTCAGTAAGCATAGCCTTAGTTCAACAAAGTGACTGGAACATACTAGACGCCATAGTGATTGCCCGTAAAACATTATCCCAATTGGCAAGTACGCATGCTACAGCTAACCATGATCGAGTCAGTAAAGTAAACACACATGAAGGCCAAGGTAAGACTGGTTCACCTTCTGTGCCGTCTCTGAGCGTTCCAAGCTTGGCTTGAAGAGCCTCCATCTGCCCTGCGAGGCCATGGCTCATTTCGCGCAGCTGAATCAGGTTGTCAAGTTCAGCTTTCTTGAATGCAACGCGAGCTGCCAAGGCGGAGGACTGTTGCTGTGCTAAGGCGCTATTTGTCTGTCGAAGGTTCGCAGTCGATGATCCTGGAGGAAGCATGGAGGTAGGGCGGGACGCATACGCCATCGCGCTATGAATCTAAATCAGGCGGAATGACTGCGGACGATGACTCGTTCAGGCAGAGAGCTGCAAATGTGTAGATACAATATATCTAGTCCAGTAGTAGCAATGACTGCGTACAGAAATCAAAGCGGAGTACTTCTGACGATGGAGCGTTGAAAAGATCAAGAGAACTGACTGCAGTCACCAACTCAGCCCGCACTTTCCAAAACAAAAGGCTTTGCGCTAATCCTAGTTTGGCTAACCATCAACAACCGCGGACTTCAGGGCCATCCAGCATTTCTTTTATATTTCAAATAAACTCGCCATCTTTATCAATATTCCGACTGAACTAGCCACCCTAACCTCTTCTTTAGACAGAGGAAATCCCACGAGAACTGATACAAGCGATTAGGCAAAGCGAAAGAGTATCACCTCTTCAACTGCCTTTCCTACGAATATGGCTCGTCTGAATGAGTCGACCGCTTCGTCTGAGCCAATTGAAATCTGTTCGTTCCAACACTCAAAAAGCCTCCAGGGTGATGATGACGTATTGATAGCTAATTCCTGCTTAGTAAAAAGACGATTCGTGCGTCAAAATCGCGAGATTGCTCGAGTAAATTCAATCCAGTCGCTCCGGATTCGAAGCCTTGAGTCTGAAGTTTCTCATCTTCTTTCCGAAAACGTGTCACTTAGGGAGCAGATCATAACCCTGACGCAGGACTTGGAGCGATATGAGGCTGCACGAACACTCCACGACGGCGTCTATGATGTCAAAGCAAGGCTCGACAGCAAGCTGGTGGAATTGAGCAGCCTGATAACCGAATTGGGTAGCTTACCACGTCATTACTCTAGATCAACTCGCGAAAGGGCCGAATCTGCTCGAGAGAGACAACCAAAGGAAATAGGTTCTACCGGAAAAGTCAACGAGGGGGGCCTTGAGCCCAATTTGGGTTGTGACATGGACGGGCGACTGCCTGTTATACTAGAAGATAAATTCTATCCCAGGCATACACTAAGGTGAGTACATGATCTTCAGGTAAAAACCAATGCATTGCTAAACAACAGGCATCATAGTGCGCAAGAATTACAAGAGTTCCCCGGTAGCGACACAGGTACCCCAATCTCTCGCGATTTAGAAGATCCTTCCGAGTTCCCAGATAAGTTTGCCGAGTGTGACGACGCGCCAATAGGCACAGCCGCCGGGCTTATGAGCACGAACACAATCGTGGACTACACAGACGAGCATTCCCTGCCCCCCAACCTTGAAACCAGAAGGAAGAAGAAAATATGCACGACAGAAATCGATAACGACCAGGCTGATTCGAGATCCACGTCTCTGCTCAACTCGAAACTCACGCGAAAATGTGGAGGAAAACGCAAATTCTCAGCCGAAGACGAAGAGAGCCTTTTGAGAACAGCCCCTGCTGAAGATGACGGCTTTCAATTCAGCCGTCCGGCCCTGTCTCCGAGACTGTCTTCGCATCACGAGCATGCTCTAGTTGACGTTGACAGTGATGATCTCAGTCATGAGGTCCAGTCACCCAGGCCATCGCAAACTGACCACTGCCCAAACAGAAAGAAGGTCCAAACTAGCAATAACACCATAAGCCAAGTACAGTCGAAGCGGAAAGTCCTCGAACCAAGTATGTACTCCTGGCTTTCATTTCACGCGTCTATGGCTAACTGAGCAAACAACAACAGAGAGTACAAATGTCAACGTACATTCCCCTATGACGTCAACTATCTCAAAGGTTTATAGTCAGAACGACCAGGGGCCAATGGAGAGGAATCAAAAGTCTCTACCCAAGCAGAGAAAAATTGATGTGAATCGCAACAAGAACACAACACCAGGGAATCTTAGCATGGCCTCCCCCATCATCGGCAACGCTAAGGTCAAAGGTGGTAACAGAGAAGAGAAGGATGTGAAGGTAAAATCAGAAGTTCCATCGCTTCACGCTACGGAGCACTCCGAAACCGCGGCAACGACAGACATGTCTAATTCCCGGCCGTCGAGGCGACGGGGTGCGGTGGTCAGTTATGCCGAACCAAACCTGAGAGACAAGATGAGACGATCGACAAACGAGTTAGGCCCGGCCGTAAGTGGCGATAAATCAAGAAAATCTTCTTCACACCCAGATCTCGACCCAGAGCCACAAGATCGAAAGAACAGGCACAACTCTACCAAACAGGCTCGAAACTCAAGTACCGCAAACTGGGAGCACGACCTGATCGGCAACGAAGCCGTTGCTGGGCACCCACATCGACCGGAAACTACTCACGGCCATGACCAATCGTCTTCTTCCAATGGACCAGGTATCCCAACAAGTGAAACTCAGGCAGTCGTGCTTACAGGCAGAAAGTCCAGACGGCATTCTTCGAACCCCAAGGCTCCTGGACACGACACCCCAACGAATATTATGCCGAGTACCCTGAGTGTGGAAAACGTATGTAGCGAATTGGTTGCAGCTTATGCAGGTAGCTCGATGAATGAGGTTCCTGTAGCCGATGAGCTCCACGTCAGGGATTCCCAGGAGTTCGTGGAGGCAATTGGATCCATGCAAATGACAAGGGGGCAGCGAGTTGCTGCCAGGCGAAAAAGCATGATGTTATAATAGCCAAGTGTTCAAAGCACAATGTGTTCAGTCTGAATAAGACCAGTGTTTCACTAATTCAGGCAGCTTTTTGCAGCAAATTATCATATTGACGAAGTACATCAAATGGTTTGTGGCTTGTAGTTTCAAGTGTGAACCACATCACCATTAAATCGAAGTTCAAGAGGTAAATATACGGTTGCAGTGCGCCCAGAGCGGCATGGTTTCGATTTGGCAACTGTATCAATTTTGGAGCGGCTATCTTGCTTCAAGCCAATAGGCCCCGGTTTCTTACTCTCCATGGCAATGGTCATGGCTGCAGAATATGGAGCTACCATCCAATCAACATAAGTACGCTATCATCTATAAGTGCTAGGGATATTGATTGACCGATTTCTTGCCGGACAAGCCATCTCGGTCGTACGTCTAAAAAACGACATCGGCTTCAACTCTTAGTATATCTCGGCATCTTTTCGTATGCATTCGGACTAGGCTTTCTCCGTTGGCTTTTAACGCTGCCATGATTATGGCTATCCGAAGTCCGACCTCTGCTTGATGACTGCTGGGCGCCGTCCTGATTGTGGTTGGAGTGCCCGCAGCTTCTTCTGGCATTCGAGTTCCCGGTATCGAGGCCGCTATCCGAATCAGATGACTCTGACTCCGAGGATTCTGATTCCGAGCTGCTTTCACCAACGGGCCTCGTCTTATGGTATATGCAACAAACTATGGCGCGCGCACGAGCAATCGAGACCAAACAGTCAGCTATTTGCCCTTATAACGGAAACCCTCTCAGCGTTACCAAGTGGGTTATTTTGTACCTTTCGAGCTCTTCTTTCCCATTCCTTCGTTGTCTACCACATCCTCGCTCCACTGTATATGCCGCGTCGGCGTTTCTTCGTGCCCGGTTGAAGGGTCGTCTGCCGCTCGTAGCCTCAGCGTTCCAGTGACTCTGGCATCTAACGTATCCTCCTGCACTCGAGTGACAGAGGAAACGCGAGAGCTAGACGCAGAACTTTGTGAGGTGATATTGCGATTATGGGGCATCATTGCGTTTGGGAAGGTTAAAAGACTCCGACGAGGCGCGCGAAAATAACTATGGTGGTACAGAGTATGTATGGCAATCGCAGTACTGAATAATTTTCCCTGGGGCTGTTTTTAGGCGGAGCGATACGCCTTCTAGTAATCTTTTACTCCGTACGATGGCCCCAGTGCCCCACGTGTTCGAGGCTGTCTTGGCAGCGCTGTTTACCTATATCATTAGCCCTTCCTTCAAGTAGTGTTACACACTTTAATGTTTACATATCTTGTAGCCTATTCGAAATTGAATACAATTGGCTAGCGTCGGACGAAGAAGGGGGGTTGTGGCTCACGAAAGTGGCAACAAGACAAACTATAGAGCAATGTGCCATATATGTCCGAGAATAAGATCGCAACGATAGATCAGATACTAACCGTTCATACGACCCTGATTCCAGAAGGAAACAGCGAACCGGGGTTGTAGCGGCGGACAAACCAAAAACATCCTAAAATAGGAAGGTGAACTTCTCATACCTACAGTCCATAGAAGGACCACCCGTCTAGCCAGTCTTCGCATTTTCCTCCTGAGCCTCTCATCACATTCGAGGGCAACAAGTCGCTCTCGGATTTAAGATCTTCGTCGAGTCATAGCTCGTCATCATGGTCCATTTCTGACGGCTTCAGGAGCCCTCCTACCCTCATTGCCCGATCACGCTCAGCAGCCTTTGCATCTTTCAGAGCCTGTTCCCTTTCCTCGGCATAGAGCTCAGCATTATCTCCTGCAAACTCTTTCAACGAGATTAGGAAATCACGGAGGTGGGTCTTAAACTTGTTGAAGTCATCGTTGTATGTAAACAAGCCAACAACGAATTGTTTGATTTGGATTCTGGCGGGCAGTTAGAACCATTGAGAAACGACCGATAACCTTTAGGTTAAGAGAGACCCGAGACTTACTCTTGCAGATTCTTGAAAGCAGCTTGTAAAAGATCTGCGACGTATTTCTGAAGGAAGTCTTTATTGGAAGTGCCAATAGGTGCTTGTTCAGGAGAGTAGATGGGATCTTGAATCTTGCCGGCTTCGATGAAATAAAACATCCGCGACAGCAAGGAAGCCTGAGACTTGAAACCTTTAGTAGAGTTAGTATTGTCGGAAGTCTTCTTTTTATGGCGGTAGCAGCAATGAACATACCTGCTTTGTGATCGCTGTCCGTGAGAACGAAAAATACATCCTGCAAGATCGGGATATAGAATTGGCGGAAGAAGATGTTTGACGTTTGTACATCAATTTCGGCCATGTTATTCATGAGTTCGAGGCACATTGTGAGACCGGTGTTCTCAACTTCTCGGTTATCGTGCTTACTTGCCCACATGCAAGAATCGATGACGAATTTGAATTGCGTTGCGTCGAGTTTCAGCAAAGCCGGGAAACAATAAAGGTTTATTGCTTGAAGTAGCTTGAAAAATTGAATTCTGTGGTCGGGGAACTCATGGAAGTCCTTATTGATCATCTCCAGAGTGCATTCGAAGACACTTTCCATGATGAGTGGCACCTTATCATCCATCAGGTTCTAGAGCATTCGTGAGTATACATTTGTAATGTCCAGGGAATCGACAAAGGCCTAGTGGCAGAGCGAAGATAGGGTGGCATACGTGCAACTTCTGAATAACCGTTGTCATGACGCTCAAGACCTCAGCTTCGCGAGCATTGGGTACATTGCGATTGTAATCTACCAAAACAGCCTCAAGAAGCGGCGGAACCATATTCGCGTTGACCATCTCCAAGTCGTCTGCTTTTTGTACGTACGTGTCGATGAGTTTTAAGATTTCCCGCTTGATTGTTCGAAGCCCCCTGACTTTAGGAGTCTTGGTCGCAATATCGCCTGAAGAGATTGTTAACTATTGAAGAGCGAAGGGCGCATGCCAGATAACATGGAAGCAGCGCATGAGGATATACGGTGCAGAAAAATATAAGATAGAACTTACCATCGCGCGCAACAGCATCGTTGATCAATTGACTGGACGCCCGGAACATGTTTAACATGTCATGGTAGATGCGGCCTAACTGGGAGTAGAAGTATGTACCGACTGACGAGCAGGCTGCGACGTTGGTCTTCATAATGTTCCCAACGATCTTGATCGTCTCCCCATCCTGTAGCACAGACGGGTCCTGATTGGCTTGAGCGATGATGGCATCCCAGGCAGAGTTGGGCAGTGACATTAAGTTTTCGATCAGCCGGTCCTGGAGACCCTTTTGGCCCTGAGCCGATATCATGTAGCCACAAGCCTCGTAAAAGGTGTGAACCTGCTGTGGTGAAAGATCACAGGTGATTTTTCGCATATTGCGAACAATTTCTTCAATGAACGCTTCATTCTCTCCTGGCTGAAGCGCAACAAAGTGCCTCCTGCACTTATTGGCGATCTTGATGAACGTGTCACAAGCCATGTCCTGGACACCTTGTATAAAGTAAGCTCTAGCCGCTTTATGATATGACTAGGCAGCTTACCTTCGTGCGTCTCATGCATGAATTCAAACAGCTTATTAACAACTGTTTTCAGGAATTTCCAATGAGCCTTCAAGAAACGTGGGTACTGTCCCACGATATACATGATGTTACTCGCAACAACAGCTTTGTTGTCTTTTCCTCTCTTCATTTCCGTGAGGCCTAAGAGGTCCTTGATGACAGTAACGAGGAAACGTTTCTCTGTCTCTTCATTCATAGCACCAGATATTGACCCAATTGCCCAGCAAAGTGTGTTGCAGTTCGCCCAGGACCATTCGGTACCATCAACCTGCTTTGCCAGCTTCTCGATCATGATGTTCTCCGTGTCGATCACATCCAGATGTGTGAGGTACACCAGGCACTCGCGGATCGTTTTGTATAGCTGGATTGTGTCGCTTTCCTTGACGAATTCGCGGATAATTTCACCCTCTTCGTTTTCGACGATCAGAACCTCCTCTGGGCGCACCATTTTTTCAATCATGACGGTGCGCAAGCTCGACAGAACCTCATCATATTTGTGCTTGCGGAGGGGGTAGCCGGCAAGGGTATTCGGGTGCGGAGCACCCCCATTGGACAGACCACTCACTCCCATGCTCACCAAGGGGTTAATGTCAGTAATTGGAAGCTGCTGCATCTCTTCGTAAAGCTCTTGTACTAATCTTGTCCAATATTCCAAGCAGATCTTGAACACCTCCCTATCGTCAATCTGGCTGATCCGAATCAGGTAGAAATGGGCATGCGTGAGATAATCCCGGTTAGGTAACTTTTCAACGAGCTGTTTTGAATCGGCATCAGTGCTGAAAGGGTATTGGATGTATTGTTCATGGGTAGGCACTTACGTTGAGGTGTGCACTGAAAAAGCTGCACAGGAATAGTGCCAGGTTGAGCACAAACTCTTGATCTCTCGAGTTACTCTTGGCATAGGTGTTCTTCAAGTCCATGGACAACGGAATAGTTTTTGATACTGTAGTCAAAGTTTCCGTGAACATGTGAATGAGCCTCTCGTCATAGTTGTACGGGTTTCCGATTTGCAGGCCACCAATCTCCGTGAGACATTTAAGGGTCACATTACGAAACTCGGGGACATCCAGGAATCGCGTTAAGAGGGTATTTATAACGGGGGTCTCGAAGATATACCCTAGCGGAATCCAGTTCAAGAAACGAAGGAGCGTCTCTAATGTGGCTTTGACTAGGCTCGGCTGGTTCGCGGTAGTAAGCACCTCGGAGCATAGCTGGAAAATCGATGAGAACTCCTGTGTCATGGTCGTCTTCAGGTTCCTTGCTTTGACCGACGTCATCTGATCTTGAGAGAAGTCGAACACCTCTTCGGACAGTAGTCGGAGGATTGCCATGTTGTTTTCACAGATTGAAAGACTTGTGTGGCACGATGAGACAATTTCGTTGATAAAAGTTGGCCAGTTATGCGGCCATTCTTGTTTCAGTATGGAGACGAGAACCAAGTTAAGCTTGTTCAAGAACGCCCGTTCACTTCTTAGCTTCTCCTCAGATTTGGAGTTCTCGATGATAAAGTTAACGATAAAGTTGCGAATTCCTAAAATGGTCAGATTATACCGTGCCAAGCGACATTGCTCGCATTCGTGTGGGCTTACCCAGGCACTGATCCCTTGGTAAAACCTTCCATCGTGTCATGATTACATCGTCAAGAACTTGAAGGGCGAGGACTAGAACCATTAGCACTCAGTTCATAGTAGAAGGGGGAACAATCTCACATTTAGTCTGAGGGTATTGTGATTCCTGAAGTATGTTTCCGACAATCAACCAGGCATCCGGATTTTGTTTGAACTAATGGGTTGAAGGAAGTTAGTCGTGTTCATGTGCACATGTTTGTAACAAGAGCTTACTTCTGTCAAGGTCTGTTGGGCTTGTTTTTGCTTTTAAGAGTGTGAACTCGGTCAGCAATCCGAATTATCCATCTCAATCGTTCCTTGGAGTAGCCTACCAAGTCGCCTTTGCCTTCATAGAAGGCCTGGACGGTTGTGTCCAGCTCCTGTATAGAGACAGACATTCCGTCGTAGCAGCTCAGGTAGCGGCGCGATTCACTTCGACCCCGACCGTCTCCACGAGAAAGTTGTCTCCAGCAAGGCGCGATAGGGATAACAAAGTCGCTCTTCTTTGGCGTGTTCAAGGCATGCGTTGTACGGAGTACGAGATACCAAGAAGATGGAGTGTTTGGCGGGGTAAAAGCTTCTTTGGAGGGGTTTGCTAGCAGCGGTCACTAAGCGCAGCGGAGAGGCTCCTGAGAGAAGTATGATAATTCTGAAGTCGAAGCACGGTTCCAAGGATGAAGCGGGTCGGTTATGTCGGGAGTCTGAGCTTTGGGGGGACAACTAGACCGTCGGGTCGTTGCCAAAAAGAATCATAAAAAAGGGCTGGTTACATACGGAGGGAACTTGACCTCTGGCGGTGAGAGAGGTGTATTGTCTCTATAATCAAAATATTAGTCAGCGCCGCGCTTAACTAAATCATTGGGAGTATTAAGGTTTACTATTTCATTCTGGCAAACTCAAGGTACAAGAGGAGTGAGAAAACAAATCACTATTGCACTAAAGTCTAGTGATCACTAAATATGGATGCAGCGCAAATTAAAGTCATTACTCAGAATGGTGGCCGCATGCCTCTGGCACTACCACCATAGACTAGTGCGGGTGTTCTGTCACGAACCGTTGATCTAGCTCTACTGGTTGTTGGGCTACATCATAGGTCACTGTAGGTCAAACATCTGCGTTGCGAAAAGTACAAGACACAGGACTAGATGCTACCATAGATGTTTGTAGCCACTTGATTTGTTAGCAGTTATCGTAAGATCTTCTATACAGCATGCGGTATCTAGAATATGATTGGCATAATTGACGCTGTTTCCCTTTGGCCCGGGCTGTGACTAAGATGCATGGGAACCACTGGCTGGCGCCAATAATGGCGAATTAGTTGGCAAGGAAAGGGTGACAGTCCCACCGCTGTGCCGCGCTTCCCTGGCGGATAGCACGGGCAACGGCGCTGGAAAAGGACATCTTGACCCTCCCTTTCAAGGTGGTGTGTCGCCTGAGCGCGATATGGTCCAATCCCAAGTCGGTCGGACTATCGAAAGTGTTCCTTCAAAGAGGTGATAAAGCCACTGGCGACTCGCCAACCACACTGCTTTGCGCGGCCAGGGCGATCGCGCGCCAACTACGGAGTAGGCCAAGTCAAGTTCTCACCAGCCAGCTGCCGCATCTCTCCATCTTGCTTGGTCCGTCGGACGTCGGCACCCTGGTCTAAACTCGAGCGTGTCTCTGTTCTCCTTCGCTTTTCTTTTTCTCCTCGATCCAGGTCCCTTACGGTAGACTACGCGACACTGGGACGGAGCCTTCTAAGTTCTGTTAGTTACTGGTCACTATTGGATCGCTCTGCAAAGCGTCTAGCCCGTACCTAGGTAGTAGTCTCTGGTTGAATGCCGTCTGCAGGCGGCAAAGGTTATAATTAAATTCTTCTCCAGCTGCCATGTTACTCGCTGAATTACTGCTATCGCTTATCCTTCTTCCCTCCACTCTTATGGTCAACCTTTCTTTTATTGCCCCCCTCCCCAAGCCCCTTTACCACCTTTTGTCTCTGACTTTGATTTCCTTGTACGTGTGCTACCTTTCTCCAGTGAGACGCGCCATCCCGGACGCTTACCCTCGTTTCAACCTCTACGCAGCCAGCATTAGCAACGACCACCATAGCCTTTATCCCCAGAAGCCGCATCACTAGACACTTTGTACAGCTTACTTAGGCGAACCACTCCCTTCCCTACCGATCCATTGGGGCATCGTTTTCCCGGCATACGCTTCGCATTCCTCTCGTTAGACCTGCATTCAGTATTTCAATCTTAATACATTTTCTGATGGCTATCAGCTATCTTGTTTCATAGCCCCATAGCTTATGTCCTGTCGCTGTCACGATCACTCCTCGATTCTTATACCGATATACATAGTGACAGCCAGCTTGGTCTGCACCATCGCTCGTGCTCCCACCGTCTAAATAATCGACTTATACTGGGGGTTGCAAGCTGCGGAACCATACACGGAGCCTCTAGCACTTGCTAATTGCTAACGTTCGTGTCTCTGGCGGCTTGTCCGCCACCAACACCTAAAGTATAGTGTCGCAATCATCCTCCATACCTCCATGACCGCTATCGCCACTGTGCCAGTGATGAATGATCAAGAGTCCGAGAAGAATTCTAGGGTAGACCATAGTCCCTCGCGGTTCACGGCAGTGAATGGAAAGGATTCCCTCACAGAGGGACTTGCTGGTGAGGACGGCAGTCCAAGAAGTGGAGAGAACCGAGAGCCTACTGAAGCCTGGCCGCGTCCCGCATACGATCGGACCGCCCGGCATGAAGATACTTTGAAGGAGAATGGGAATACCGGTAACGACATAGACGAAACACAGTCAAAACGATCAACTCCCCATGGCTCTCTCATTTCATCCAACCGGGTCAAAAGAAGAAGGTCGGAATCTGACGAGCCAGAAGGATCTCGCACGCCGTACCATGGCCCAAAAAGCCCAGTTTATCCCGCGGAGGGCATCGCAGAACATTCTCCACGGGAAGGTACCACAAATGGAATCATGAGTTCTCAAAGCGATACCGATTCGAAGCGCACATCTCCCCAAACACACGCCAGACCAGAGGAGGGTGAAATTACTCGAAGATCGTCGACAAACACCAGTTGGCATGAATACGATGCACAACTCCTGAATCAAGCCCAGCGGGTCCAGCAAATAGATGCGTCAGATGCCCAATTGGCCGAGGCGCTGCAGCGTGAGGCTCAGGGGCCTGATGCCGTTCATCATAAGACTTGGGATGGGGTCAATCATCCAATCGTCGAGGGCTCTATACCCAGTGAGCAACCCCCAACGTCTTCTTTCCCTCAAGATCGGTCGCAAAACGCCGTGCAAGTCGCACCCAAGAGGAAGCGCGTTTTCAGCAATAGGACGAAGACTGGTTGCATGACTTGCCGGAGGCGGAAGAAAAAGTGTGATGAACAACATCCAGCTTGTAAGTTTTCCAAACTCTGTAATCGACAATTTCATAGCGTAATACGCACAGTTCTGATTGCCATTGCAGGCAACAACTGCCTTAGAGGTGGTTTTATTTGCGAAGGATATTCATCTCGCAGCACATGGCAGAAACCTTCCAGCTCAAAAACGCCGGTTCCGCTGCAGTCGAAGGAAGGTTACCCAGATACCGGTGGACATTATATTCACGACTCCAATCAGCATGATCGCCAGAAAAGCCTGGGAGAACCGCTTGACGCAGGGAAAATGAGGTCGATGGTTGTTGACGATGACAACCGTCCTACGACACAGTTTAACACCAGTCCCACGGGCGTTGGGTCCAGTCGGGGCTCCTGGCCGAAGCGAACCTGGTCAGGCGCAAATCACACCAGTTACATCGCAGATTCTCTACCGAAATCAGACTTTCGGGAAGTTCCATCAATCCACGAATTGTCTCGTGAAGGACATACCAAAGGTGATTACCCACTAGTTCCACCAATAAGGGAACTTTCCCACGGTGGGCATACGAAACCAAACGTCCCTTTATTCCAAGGTGGAATTGATCAGCGACCAGCCCATACCAGTAGTATTGACACCAGCACACCCCAGGCACAAGCCCGCATGGCGTTGAGTATTGAGCACCAGTTATCTGGTCGGGCTGTTTCCAATGAAGAAACAGAAAAGGACAAGATGTTACGTGGTGATTTATACAGGCCTTTCGATGTCATCCTCGTGGAAGAAAGAGAGCGATGTAGAGCCGCTCTTTGGCGATTTAATAATGCCTGCAACCCTGTTTCGGGACTTAGCACCAAAGAGCAAAACCGTTTATTGAAGGAGATACTGGTCCCCCAGACGTCTATCAATTCACCACTGGGCACTGCATCACCGAGGCCCGCAGGGTCTATTGCCCAGGGCGCTGTGGTAGAAGCGCCGTTCCAGTGCCATTACGGTTATAATGTCCATATTGGCGAGGACGTCATGATATCTGAGAGCTGTCTTTTTGTTGACGACTGCTCTGTCACAATTGGGGCGCACACATGGATCGGTCCCAGGGTAACCATTTTGACGTCGATGGCGCACGCAAATATGCAGGAAAGAAAAGGCTCGCAAAGCCGATACCAAGGCAGGCCCGTCACAATCGAAGAAGACTGTTATGTCGGAGCCGGCTGTACTATCTACCCTGGTGTCCGTCTGCGGCGCGGAGCATATGTCGCTCCCGGTGAGGTAGTGAAAACCGACATTGTCGCGTATGGGTTCCAGGGACTGAAACCAAGCTATATGTGACACTTGAGTACTATCAGTGGCAGTCCTTTTGGCAGAGCCTTCTGGGTTCGGATATCCTATTCTTATATTCCTCGTTGAATGGGGTTGTCGTTTCTGTTCTTTGTAACACCACTAGTCCAAGCTTATATCTTTTCTGCTACCTAGGTAATCGAGGTTTGTACCTGAATGGAACAGATTCAATCAGCGCCGTCCTCATCAAGCATCTCTATGATTACATATCCCTTGAGCCGAGTTCTAGTGCTTGTTCCTCCAATGAATATCGGTATATGGTCATGGCGCTAGACACCGTTACTTGTCACTACAATTTATTCGATGTATCTGCCGGAAACCGTAATTAAGAACCCTGTAAGGAAAGACACCAGTATGAGATTCAAGCGGGTTGTTGACTCTTGAAAAGGGGTGGAGAGGTGTGGGGCATTGTCGCCATTATTTGATAATGAGAGGGAGCCCTGGGTATGATCATACCTGGCAGTGACCGTAGCTAACGAAACAATACATCGAGTCTATGCAACAACAAGTATGAACTAAAGCCACTCTAGAAACTCAGGTACGAAATAGCTCACGATGATTCCGGCACCAGCGCGTAAGATCCCTTCTGTACTTTCAAAGGCCATCGACTTCAAGTCAAAGACCCCAGCCTTTGCTCCGGCATGTATCATTGCATATTCGCCACTAACCTGGTAAGCGGCGATTGGGATATCCTTCGCAAGCTCTCTCGCGTCTCTGATGATATCAAGATAGCTGCTAGCCGGCTTTACCATGATTATATCTGCGCCCTCGCCAATGTCTCTTTGAATGGCCCTTCGGGCTAGTCCACGGCCGCCAGGGGGGAGTTGATAGCACCTGCGGTCCCCAAATGACGGGCATGAACCAGCCGCATCACGGAACGGGCCGTAGAGGCAGCCGCTGAACTTTGCACTGTAAGACATCAACAGCACACGATGGGCAAGACCGGCCTCGATCAGTTTCAACTTTATAGCACGAACTCTCCCATCATTCATGTCGGACGGGGCGACACAATGCGCACCGGCGATAGCATAGGCCAAAGCAACATCCGAGATTCGATCAACAGACTGCGTATTGTCGAGCGTGCCATCTTCCCGCAGAATACCACAGTGACCATGGGATGTGTATTCACACAAGCAAACGTCAGTCACGATGTACAGTTCAGGGAAGCGCGATCGGAGGAGGCGAATGGCTTGGACAACAGGACCAGCCGGGTCATCCGCGGAAGTCCCCAACGCATCTTTCGCAGAAGGATGCAAAGGAACACCGAACAAAATGACAGACCTAAGTCCCTTTTGAACAAGTGGTCTCAAGAATGGTACCAATCGATTCAATCCCCGACGGTGCTGATTAGGGAGTGACGGGATCGGTGTTTCTTCATCTGGGTTATCGGTGATGAAAAGTGGGTAGATTAGCATTTCCTAAAGGCGAAGAGTCAGAAGTAGCTATTTGACTTCATAAAGTTGCAGGCTACTGACCTTTGTCAATTGCCTCTCTGCTTGCCATGACCTGCTGAGCGGGTGGCTGTAGCCGGAATGAAGCTGGCTCGAGATATCACCGGCTATGCTAACACTTGTAGCTGCTGTACTTGTATATGATCGAGCAGTGATCTGGGATCGTGCGTTCGAGATCTGGGAGCTGCGATCTTCATAGTTGTCCCTCAATGCAAGGTCGGACACAAGATTTGAAAATGACATGGTGGCAGCGGTCGCAGAGCAGTTTGATGGTGTGAGAGTCTAGAATAATGAGATGATAAACACCCTGTGCCCTTCCCAGTTGTGACGGAATACCAATCGAGTCAGGTAGACACTTAGGATTATTTTATTAAGATGTTGTCAAGTCATTTGACACCCGCAATCTTACTCCGTACTCGGGCGACTTGAAATTCGCGAACTATGATTGGGTGTATGAAAAGTCAAGGAATCCGCAATGGCTGGTTTGGTCCTCACAAGTTTGTTACTCCGTACTAGCATGAAATAAAAAACCATGTGGGAGACAAAAACAATGGAACCCGGCGGAGACCAAGAATACTTTGAACATGTCACATATTATATATAAAAATCTGGCTAGAATCTGGCTAGCAGTGATAATAAAACAAGTCACCAACAAACCTCACCTTCTCGAAGTCCCGCCTTCGGTTATGGGGTATCTTAGTACCTCCTGTCATCCTATTCCATGAGTATATTTATACTAAACTCGACTAGGCGCTGAGGGCCTATAGGCTGACCACTGTTGGATGTTCCATGTCCTAAATTTGAATGGTATAATTACACGACTGGTTTTCTAGGTTTGCTAGCATCAGGCCTCCGTCATGCCAAATAGATTGAGACCGAGGCCTAGTCCTTATTATGGGGGAGGAGTTTTGGCAAAAGGATGTTCACTAGGGACCTCCTCTCTTTGTGCACATTCATCCAGCCATTTTCCTCGACAACGACCACCCGACCGTCGATGCACACGCGCCGCCACTTTTCATTGACCTCATGAAAGTCGAGACGGAACCCTTGGATCTCGGAATACATGACATTGCCGTCTTGAACGTGCCGTCCATCTTGATAGGCGGCAGATAGCAGCTGCATTACCTGTTGAGATGGCATCGGTCCGAAACGGACTATTCTGAAGGAGCCATCAAGGGGGACAGAAAGTGGTGAGATCTTGAAACCTTTCTCAAGGTTCGACACCAATGTTGCCAGCACATACACATGTTCTTCGTGTTCTATGACAATCTCGTGTTCCATACAGTGTTTGCCGTCATACCTCACCAGAGTCAGGGTACCGTTGTATTTGTGAGCTTCGCTGCCGTCCGATGGGAAAAGAAGTTCCTGCGCAGCCATTTTGAATCTGTCGGCACCGAATTTGCGATATTCGGCTGTGTCGCTATCAGCAACCAGCGCAGCATGTATCCCCCAACTTGCAACAACACCACCGTATATCTTCAGACCATAGGAGTTGTTGGCCGGGGTAGACTGAGTCTGTCCACTTTGGGCATAGCGTGCTCCTTGCGAGAAGGTTGCTGCGAAAACAGGGAGAGGGAACGGGTTTCCCTGCAGCAATGCCATGATGGCATTCTTTGGTCGATCCAACAACCCAGTGGAACTTGCCATAGCATTCCCTGTGCCTGCTGGGAAGAGGGCTATGTTTGGCATGGTACGGATGTGCTTCGGGGTACCATGAAAAGAGTCAATTATATCGCAGAGTCCGCCATCTCCTGATATAAGAACAATGGATTGCGGGACGCCCGCTTCGGCTTGTGGGATGAACAACGAATGGCATAGCTCTGTTATAGTCTGAGGTGACTGAGTCTCGTGAACATTGTATTGATCAATGCCTATCCACGAGAGTGTTTGTCGGAGGAGACCAAACAGTTCCTTGGCTGTCCCTGTTCCAGAGCCTGTAGATATAATAACATGACACTTAGTTGGATAACAAAGATGCCTTGGCGCTTCAAAGAGCAAATAAGCAGACAACGCTGTCGGTAGTGCAGATCTGATATGCACTCTTTCAACTTTGGGCAGTATTCTAGGGAGGCCTGCCTCTTGTTGAATAAATAATATTGTATAGATTTGTTGATTGTTGCCATTGGGGAGTATACAGAGTATATCTGCAATGGGAATTGTGGCAGTTGTAAGGTGGTCCTCACATTCACTGCTGCATTGTACTGTGTCACCAACAATCATGCAGTTCATATAGATGTCATTGGAAGAATGTGACTGTTCAAGCATGTTATCTGGAAAGGGCTTAATATGAGTTTGCAAGATCAATTATAGCAGGGTCCCTTGGAAAACAAGGTTGTAAAGTCACTATTCTGTTATGTCTTACTTGTGTGTAATAATTAGGGATGTACAAAGTAGTTGACGTAAATTACGGAAAGTTGAAATTTAGACATTTTTTAGTAAGGAATAATTTCTAATAAAAGAATAAAATTATGTAACTCATTACTTTTTGATTAGGTTAATACTATAGTAAAATTATTAAGTAAAGCATGGCTAGTAAAGTAATAATTTTAACTTTATATATAAAATTAACTTTTTTTTAAAAAAAGTATAAATATAGGTAAGTTTAAACCTTTATATTATTACTTTTATTAATAAATAAAAGGTTTTTATTTAAAATATTATTATAAATAGGTTATTATTATATAAGGTTTTAATTATTAATTAAATAAAATTAAAGTAAATCCTAAAAATAGGCCCGTGTGTAAAGTATTTTAAATTTATATTTATTTTTTAATTAAAAATAGCTTAAATATAACTTAAAAATTCATAAAGGTAGCTTTAAAACTAGCCTTTTTTTAATTTTTAAATAACTTTTTTAATATTATTTAAAAAAGTTTAAAATACTTTATTTTTATTAGTTAAATTTTTTTATTATTAATAAAAAATTTTAAAACTTATTAATTTTATAATTAAAGTTACTTTTATTTATTATTTTTTAAACTTTTTCAATAATAGTATCCTAAACTAGATTTTTTTTAAAAAAAGTAAGTAAAAGTAATTTATAAATATTTTAGTTAAAATTTTTAAAACCTAAACTTAAATGGCTAAAAAGTATTTTTTATTTATACTTAAAACTTTTATTACTATTAAAAATAGTTAAATAAAAAAACCTAACTTAAATAATTTAGTTTATTAGCTTAATTAACGCACATGGTAAGATATACTTTTTATCCTATTTTTTATATTATTATTATAACTTATTAATTTAAAATTTATTATAACTAAAGTTATTTTAAGGGGGGAGCAGCCTTATTGCCACTTTTGCCTACTATATGCCCTATGTGTTATTACTGCTATGGTGTAACCGCTCCGCGGGTACACACATTCTGCCACCAGCCACCACTTACACCAAGCCTACTCTTAGTTAGCTAGAAATAGCGTAAATAAGGTAATTAACTATATTTTAACTTATTATGCTATACACGGCTATAATAATAGTATGTTTTAAATTAAATAATAACTTTTTTTAAAGTATTATTACGCGTTATTTAAAAACTTTAATAAATATATTTTTTAATTATTAAGGACCTTTTATAATTACTTTTTAAATTTTTTATATTTTTATTTACTTTTATATTTACCTTTTAAATATCCTATAATTCTTATTAAATATTTTATAATTTATATTAAATATAAAGCTATATTACTTTTAATTTTTATTAAATATTTTATATTTCTTGCTTTTACCCCCTAAATCTTTTTTTACTTATTAAATTTACTTTTTTTTACTTTATAATTCTAACCAGGGAGTGGTAATATTATTTAATTTATAATTAAATTTAAAAGTAGCCGGAGCTTTATACCAGGCACTTTTTTTAATAAATTATTAATTTTATTACCTAAACTATTTTAAATTATTATTACTTTATATTTTACTTACTTTATTAACCTAAACTTTGTATTTTTTTTATATATAAATATTAAATAGCCTTAATAAACGCCTTTAACCTTGCTTAGCTAAGTTAAGTTATTAATTTAATATTTATTACCTAGTAATTTTAAGCTAGTAGTATATAAATTAATTATTAAGTTTAATAATTAATTTATTTATTTATATTTTATTTGCTTTTTTACCCCTTTATTTTTTAAAAACCTTAAATTTTTAATTAATTAATTTTTTAGCAGGAGTATAGTTAATAACATAATAAAAAAAAATTTATACTTAGTAGGCATTTTTAATATTACTAAATTTAAAAAGTATATTAATTAAAAGGTAAAAAATATAAATATTAAAATAAATAATATAGCCCTTATAAACTTTTTTAGTAAAGCTTGCTTTTATTTTATTTTTATTTTTTATTTTATTTTTTATGCATGCTTTATATTAATTAAAAAATAACTTATTATACTAGCCCCTAGTAATAAAATATTACTAGTTAAACCTTTTATAATAAAGCTAGTTAAAAAAATGCGTGGTAAAAGTAAAGAATAACATGTTTTATAAAAAAAATATTATTTATTTTTTATATTAAAAAATTATACTAAACTTATTTAAAGTTTAAGTTAGCCGCGTTTTATAGCTAATTTTAGTAAATTTAATAATAGTAATAGTAAAAATAATACTTTTTTATATTTTTTTAATAACTTTTAAGCTAGTAAAAGCTTATTCTTGCTAGCTATTTAAGTAGCTAAATTTATTAAAAGCTTATTTTTATTAAAAAAACCATGTAATATATTTAATAATAATAATATAAATATAATATTTAAAGCTACTAGTTATGGTTTACTTAAATAATATAGTTTACTTAAATAATATAATTTACCTAAATAATATTTACCTATACAGAGTATATAATAAGCATAATAATCTTAAGCTTTTAACTTAAATAATATTTTTTAAGCTTTTTATAATATAAATTATATAATATATAAAATAAATAATAGGATTAGCTAGCTAGAAGCTAGGTTTAATTATTATAAGCCTTAGTAATAACTTATAGTTTTTTAGTTAATTTTATTCTTATTTTTTTTATTAATTTAAAATAGCCAGCTTTTTTAGTTAATATAAACCTATTTAATTATGCTATTTTTTTATAACCTGCAAAATCTAATTTTATAATAAAATATATAACCTAGTATTATCCCTATATAATAAGTATAAGCAGCCTAGTAAAAAATTCTTATTTTTATGCAGGGATTTAGTATGCCTTTTATTATTTTTATTTTTTAATAATAAAAAAAAGCCAAGAATGCAGCCTATTTAGGTACCTAAAAAATAAAAAAAAATTAAATATTTTTAGCCTAACCTAAAAAAATAATATTATAGTTAAGTAAAAAAAATACTTAATATATTATAAAAATATTTATATATTTATAAACTGCCTGCGTGACGTGGTTATATATAAGGGTAAATTAATAATTTAATTAAACTTAATAGCTTATTTACAGGGTGCGGCCTTATAATAATTTACTTTATAATTATTTAACTTAAAAAAAGGACTTTATAAAATATTATTAAAAAAAAGGCTGGTTTAGCTAGCTAGTTTTAAGATTTAAGCTAAATTTTTATATAATATTATTAAAACTATAAGGTTTAAAATATAAATATAAAAATATACATGCTAGTAATTCCTTATAATTTTATATTAAAAAATAATTAAATATTATAAAGCGGCAAAGATTATAAATAAGTTTAATTAAATAAGTATAATTTAAAGCTACTTAGATCCCTAGCTTAGGCAGGATATAAAAAAACCTATATTAGGTATAATAACTTTAAACTAATTTTTTTAATTACTAAAAAAAAGTACTTATAGCAAGACTTAACCGCAAAGTATAATAATAATAATAATAATAATAATAATTATTATTATTATTTATACTTTAGTAACTAAGGCCCTAAATATTTTAATAATCCCTAAAATTATTTAAAAACCCTTTAAACGCCTTGTTAGCATTTTATTAATAATTATTTTAATTAATTATTATATATGTCCAATTAATATTATTTATAAAATAACCTAAATAATTATTAAGAAACTTATATATATATTATAAATACTAAGCTAATTACTTAAAAAGCCCCTAATAATATAAAGTAAATAGTTAATTACTTAGCTTTTTATAATAACCCTGCCTAAGTACTAATATAAATAGTTTTAGCCTTTTATATTACCCCTGTATTTTATACTATGCCTGTAATATATGTTATGCCTAATTTAAATATTATATATATTATTTATATATTAAGTTAAGCTAGTAATTAAGGCTTATAAAAAAATATTAAGGTTTAGGCCATAAAAATATTAGCTTTAGTTATTTAAAAACTCATATATAACTTTTAACTTACTTTTAAATAGCCCCTGGCCTATTTTAATAATAGCTAGAATACTTATTAGTTTTTTATTATTTTTTTTTTAAAAAATAAGCCTATTACACCTTTTTTTTAAAAAAAAAATACTAAGTATAAAAAAAAACACCTGCAAAGGCCCCTGCTTTTACTTTTAATATTAAATAATAATTTTTTATTATAGCCTTTACCACGTAGCTAGTTATTATTTTTTTTTAAAAAAAAAATAAAAAAAAAATTTTAATACTTTAACTTTAATATAAATATAGTTTTT